AGACAGTTGAAAAAAATAAAAAAGAAAAAAAGAATGAACAAAACCTCCAAGAAATATAGGATTATGTAAAAAGGCCAAATCTATAAATCACTGACATCTCTGATAGGGATGGGGAAAAAGTAAACAATTTAGAAAACATTTTAGGATATTGTCCGTGAAAACTTCTTTAACCTTGCTAGAGAGGCTGATAGTCAAGTTTAGAAAATACAGAGAACCCCTGCAAGATTCTACACAAGAAGATCATCTCCAAAACACATAATCGTCAGATTTTCTGAGGTCAAAATGAAAGAATCTTAAAAGCACCAAGAGACAAAGGACAGGTCATTTACAAAGGGAACTCCATCAAGCTAACAGGATACCTCTCAGCTGAACTTCCATAAGCTAGATGAGATTGGGGCCTATATTCAATATTCTTTAAAAATGTCCAACCAATATAAATTTCATATCTAGCCAAACTAAGCTTCCTAAACAGCAGAGAAATAAGATCCTTTTCAGATAAACAAATGTTGAGTGAGTTGGTTACCACCAAACCTCCCTTACAAGAAATCTTGGAAGGAACACTATAGAAAGGAAAGATGGCTACCAGCCAATACAAAAATACACTTAAATACACAAACCAGTGACAGTATAAAACCACTACACAAGCAAGCCAGTATAACAACACAACGACAGTATCAAATTCACACATACCAATAGTAACCTTGAATGTAAATGGGCTAAATGCCCAACTTAAGAGGCACAGAATGACAAATTGATTAAAAAGCAAGACACAAAGGTATGCTGTCTTCAAGAGACCCATCTCACATGTAATGACACCTGTAGGCTCAGAATAAAGGGACTGAGGAGAATCTACCAAGCACATGGAAAGCAGAAGAATAAAGCAGGGGTTGCAATCCTAATTTCAGACAAAACAGACTTTAAACCAACAAAAACCAAAAAAGACACAGAAGGGCATTACATAATAGTAAAGGGTTCAATTCAACAAGAAGACCTAAGTATCCTACATATATATGCACCCTACACAGGAGCACCCAGCTTCATAAAGAAAGTTCTTAGAGACCTACAAAGAGACTTAGATGCCTACGCAGTAACAGTGGGAGACTTCAGTATTCCACTGACAGTATTAGATCATTGAGGCACAAAATTAACAAAGATATTCAGGACCTGAACTGAACATTGGACCAAATGGATCTGATAGACCTCTACAGAAATCTCTTTCCCAAAACAACAGAATATACATTATTCTCATCATCACATGGCAATACTCTAAAAATCAACTACATAATTGGACATAAAACAATCTTCAGTAAATGCAAAAGAACAAAAATCATACCAAACACTCTTTCAGACCACAGCATAATGAAACAGAAGTCAAGATTAAGAAAATTACTCAAAACCATACAATTACATGGAAATCAAACAATATGCTCCTGAATGACTTTTGGGTAAATAATGAAATTATGGCAGAAATCAGGAAGTTCTTTGAACTAATGAGAATGAAGATACAGCCTACCTGGATCCTTTGGACACAGCTAAGGTAGTGAATTTCTCTTAAGAGAGAAATTCATAGCACTTAATGCTGACATCAAAAAGAAAGATCTCAAATTAAGAACCTAACATCACAATGGAGAGAATTAGAGAAACAAGAGCAAATCAGTCCCAGAGCTAGCAGATGGCAAGAAATAACCAAAATTAGAGCTGAACTGAAGAAAGTCAAGCTATGAAAATTCACTGGAAAGATCAACAAATCCAGGTATTGGTTTTTTGAAAACAGTAATAAGATAGGTAGGGTGCTAGCTGGGCTAATAAAGAAAAAAGAGAGAAGACCTAAATAAACACAATTAGAAATGACAAAGGGGATGTTAGCACTGACCCCACAAAAATAAAAATAACTACCAGAAACTACTACAAACAGCTCTATGAACACAAACTAGAAAACCTAGAAGACATGAGTAAATTTCTGGACACATACCCTCCCAAGACTGAACCAGGAAGAAATTGATTCCTTGAACAGACATGAGCTCCAAAATTGAATCAGTAATAAGTAGCCTACTAACCAACAACCATCTGGGACCAGATAGATTCACAACTAAATTCAGCCAGATGTACAAAGAGGAGTTATGACCATTCCTACTGAAACTATTCAAAAAATTTGAGGAAGAGGGTCTCTTTTCCAATTCATTTTCTGAGACCAGCATCATCTCAATACCAAAACTTGGCAGAGACACAACAATAAAAATGTCAGGCCAATATCCCTGATGAACATTGATGCAAAAATCCTCAACAAAATACTTGCAAACCAAATCCAGCAGCACATAAAAAAGCTAATCCATCATGATCAAGTAGGCTTCATCCCCAGGATGTAAGCCTGGTTCAACATATGTAAATCAATAAATGTGATTCATCACGTAAATAGAACTAAAGACAAAACCCACGTGATTATCTGGATAGATACAGAAAAGGCTTTTGATAAAATTTACCACCCTTCATGTTGAAAACTCTCAATAAACTAGGTACTGAAGGACTATATCTCAAAATAATAAGAGATAGCTATGGCAGGCCCACAGCCAACATCACACTGAATGGGCAAAAGCTGGAAGAATTACCCTTGAAAACCAGCCCAAGATAAGGACACCCTATCTCACCACTCCTATTCAATATAGTATTAGAAGCCCTGGTGAGAGCAATCAGGCAAGAGAAAGAAATAAAGGCATCCAAACAAGAAGAGAGGAAATCAAGCTATCCCTGCTTGCAGATGGCATGCTTCTAATCTAGAAAACCACTTAGTCCAAGCCCAAAAGCTCCTTTAGCTGATAATTTCAGCAAAGTTTAAGGATACAAAATCAATGCACAAAAATCATTAGCATCCCTATACACAAACAACAGTCAAGCTGAGAGGCAAATCAGGAACACAGTTCCATTCACAAATGCCACAAAAAGAATAAAATACACAAGAATACAGCTATCCAGGGAGGTGAAAGATCTCTACAGTGAGAATTACAAAACACTCCTCAAAGAAATCAGAGATGACACAAATGAATGGAAAAACATCCCATGCTCATGGATTGGAAAAATCAATATCATTAAAATGGTCATACTGCCCAAAGTAATTTACAGATTCATTGCTATTCCTATCAAAATGCCAATGACATTCTTCACAGCACTATTAAAAAACTATTTTAAAATTTATATAGAACCAAAAAGGAGCCAGAATAGCCAAGGTAATCCTAAACAAAAAGAACAAAGCTGGAGACATCACATTACCTGACTTTAAACTATACTTCAGGGCTACAGTAACCAAAACAGCATGGTACTGGTAAGAAAAAGAGACACATAGACCAATGAAACAGAATAGAGAGCCCAGAAATAAGACCACGCACCTACTGACATCTGATTTTTGACAAAGCTGACAAAAACAAGCAATGGGAATAGAACTCCCTATTCAATAAATGGTGCTGGGTTAACTGACTAGCCATATGCAGAAGATGGAAACTGGTCCTCTTTCCTTACACCATACACAAAAATCAACTTGAGATGGATTGAAGACCTTAAATGTAAAACCCAAAAGTATAAAAATCCTGGAAGACAACCTAGGCAATACCATCCTGGATATAGGAATGGGCAAAGATTTCATAAAAACACCAAAAGCAATTTCAACTAAGGCAAAAATTGACAAATGGGATCTAATTAAACTTAGAGCTTCGGGAAGGAAAAAGAAACCTATCAAGAGAGTAAATGGAAAACCTACAGAATAGGAGAAAATATTTGCAAACTATGCACCTGAAAAGGTCTAATATCCAGCATCTATGAGGATCTTAAACAAATTTACAAGAAGAAACATAATCCCATTAAAAAGTGAACAAGGGACACCAACAAACACCTTTCTAAAGAAGACATACGTTCGGCCAACAAGCATATGAAAAGAAGCTCAATATCACTGATCATTAGAGAAATGCAAATCAAAACCACAATGAGAAATCATCTCATACCAACCAGAATGGCTGTTTCTAAAAAGACAAAAAATAACCTGGCAAGGTTGCAGAGAAATGGGAACACTTACACACTGTTGGTGGGACTGTAAATTACTTCAACCACTGTGGAAAGCAGTATGGTGATTCTCAAAGAGCTAAAAACAGAGCTACCATTCAACCCAACAATCTGACTACTGGATATATACCTAGAGGAATAGGAATAATTATACCCTAAAGACACGTGCACATGAAAGTTCATTGCAGCACTAGTCACAGTAGCAAAGACAGACTCACCTATATGCCCGTCAATGACACATTGTATAAAGAAAATGTGGTACATATACACCATGGAACACTATGTAACTATAAAAAAGAATGAGATAATGTCTTTTATAGAAACGTGAATGAAGCTGGAGGCTTCATTTAATTTAAATTTAAATTTAAATTAAAATTTTATTAAACTAATTTAATAAATTAGTTTATTAAATAAACTAATAAAATGTTATTCTTAGAAAACTAACACAGGAACAGAAAACTAAATACCACATGTTCACACTTATAAGTGGGAGCTAAATGATGACAACTCATGGGCATGAAGAAAAGAGCAACAGACACTGGGGCCTACTGGAGGGAGAAGAGAGGGAGGAGGGAGAGGAGCAGGAAATACTAAGTATTGGGTACTAGGCTTAGTACCTAGGTGACAAAATAATCTGTTTGAAAAACCACTGTGTACCTATACAATAAACTTGTACATGTACCTCTGAATCTAAAATAAAAGTTAAAAAATTATTTAAAATAAAAACATTCTGAAAACAAAAACAGAGAGACTAAAAGATGTAGTTTTCCTTCCTTTGATCATGTGCCTTGAAAATTGATTGAGACATAGACAGGTGCCCAGACAAAAATCAGGAGTGGGGTGGACCACGTTCACAGATAGGGATTTGTACAGCTTTCTCCAAAATGCTCATTTTGTCACATGGACTGTGGGTCAAAACCAATTCGTTATGTGGGTGATGGAATTTATCTCACCTTTAGTTTCTCCCCAGCCAGTGATGAAACATTCGGTCCGGTCGGCGACCACGTAATTTGGGGATGGCAGACAAGCTGGGATCACTTTGTCAGTGATGATGGCAGGACTGAAAGAAGAGCATCAGCAGCTGTTTGACTGCTCTGCTGGGAGCCGCAGCACTCACAGCCAGCCATCCCTGCCTTGAGGCCCCAGAGCCCTCCGAGCTGGCACTGCCTTGCTTCACTGACCCAGAGCAACCTAGAACACAGCGTTTCACCCTCACATCTGTCTGAGGTTGTCTATCAACTGCACAGATACAAGGCTTCATTTGAAAGGCGTCAGTTGCTTACAAGAAACTGCTGGTGGCCTTCACCTTTGAAAGTAGGGATGACAAAGACATACTTCTCATGTATATTCTGTGCACGACTGGAATCTCATGCTGAGTGGGTCCTTTCATATTAATTGAATAGGGCATTGATCAGTGCACAGAATGTCTGACTGAGATGCCACCAAGAGGCTGTAAAATTGCACATGTGTTGTGTGCCCAGAGCAGCTTCTCCATCCTTGGATCCTCCTCAGTGAATGTTACTACACCGTAGTTGTAAGAATCCAGTAAAATGTTAGACATGAAAGACGATTGGAATAAGCCCCTTGCATGAACAAAATGGTATTGTTTTCAAAGAACATTCATATACTTCAGAGTTCCAGGGACTCTCAAACATTAGAACTCTGTGTTTAGACCTGATTCTACTTTAGTAAGTGCAAGGAGATAAAGGACTGGAAATGTGAAACGTCCTATTCTGATCAAGAATCATCGTCACCAACTTTGAAGCAGACATACTTTCTGCTTCACGCACCAGAAGTTCCAGCCTGTGGTGCAGACATCCTCACTCTACAGGTTCCCTTGTGGAGCACTAAATGCCCTAGACTCTAGGGGTGTGGGGATGTGGGTGGGAACTCTAAACTCAAAATCTATCAGCCTATCAGAGAATGCCTCCAAAACCCAACATTTCCAAATTACTTGTTGAAGCCATCAGAACACCCCAGCTCTCTGAGGACTGTGAGGAGCGGAAACCTTGTATTTGCACATTTGCTGGGATGGTGGGGGGACACTGGGGAGCACGAGGAAGATCAGCTACTATTTATAGAGACTGAGCAAGAAATACTGAGTATTGGGTACTAGGTTTAGTACTTAGGTGACAAAATAATCTGTTTGAAAAACCACTGTTTACCTATACAATAAACTTGCACATGTACCCCTGAATCTAAAATAAAAGTTAAAAAATTAATTAATTAAAATAAAATAAAGGCCCTTCTCTCCTTTCTAGAGTGTCAGAGCATCCCAGGACATCACCCCTTGGTTTACAGACCCAGAGAAGCTGCCTCAGGCTTGTGGCCAGGCTGAGGAGAGCAGGTCATGGCCACCTGTGTCTGCACCAACATCCTGCCTTCCAGAGTCACTGGCATGGTGAGCGCCCTGCGTGCCTTGTCACCTGTCCCAAACCCGCCTCTCCTACAAATAGCTGTTTCTTAGCTGTTTCAACTAGCATCTGGCTCCAAACAGCACTAACTTTAAGTGACATAAGCAAATGTATCACTTTGTTAGGCTTAACGAAACAACATTGTTGGGAAAGAGAAAATCAAAGAAAATAATAGTAATATAATTTGCATTTGTATTTGTGATTTTTTTGACATTGTGAAGTCTTTTCATACATTATATATATAAAGATATATATACAGATAGATCTCTATAGACACATATACATATATATATATATATATATATATGGTCTTACTCTATTGCCCAGGCTGGAGTGCAATGACATGATCGTAGCTCACTGCAGCCTCAAACTCCAGGACTCAAGTGATCCTCCTGCCTCAGCCTCCCAAGTAACTAGGATCATAGCTGTCCATACCAGACCCAGCTCAATGTTGTAGTTTTTCAAGTGCTTTGAAAGGAATACACAATGTCACTTGATTCTCTCTATCACATTATTATGAAAGGAGAATTGTCAGCCTGGGATAACTGAATCTTTCTCTGACCGTGAATGCATATGAATCGGTAAACATTAAGTGAGTTTTAGGGGTAACAGAGTACTTTATATTTCAACTCTTTTTCCACGCGAGGAAACTGAGTCCTGCTGCCTTTCTCAAGAGCACAGCTAGCATGTGGCAGGGCTGGGGTTGAAGATTGTTGCTGTCTCCAAAGCCCTTGAGCCTTTCTTGTCACAGGCAGCCCCTCCCCATGCCATGCAGTGGCCATGGCTCATAAAATCCGGAAATAAAACAAGTGTCTTCACCAGCGTGGGGTGAAGACCACAGGTGAGTGAGTACCTGCTTAGCTTCAGCAAGGCAATATCTGCTCGTCTGGGCTCCAAGAACAGCTTAGACACTTCTATTTGCTGAACATGGGATTCAAGTTTCACTTCTTGGTGTGCACCCAGGATGACCTTGTAGAAGTAAGGGTTTGAGGACCTAGAAAAGATGAGTGTGTCAAGAATAAAATGAGCGTGGTCCAGCCCCTTCAGGTACCCTCTGTGTCATGAACTTAGCACTGTCTCCCTGACGCCCTCGGCCACCTAGGATCAGTGACTTCTGAGTGGCAAGAAGCAAAATTCATGATTTGCCTGAAACAGGCAGTTAAGGAATGTTCTCAGGCTGTTTGGGCAGAGACTGATGGCGGTGGTAGGGAATGGCTCTGTCCTGAGGTTTAGTCAGGCCCACAAAATCATCTGCACTGAGTCTTTCCTCTGCACTTTCTCTCTAGAAACAATTCCCTTCTCTCTTATCCAATTGTCCTGGCAGTTCTGCCTCAGGCTTGTGCGCATGCATTCCCTAGTCCCTAGTGTCACTGCCAGCAAAGGAAGGGAGGAAGAGAGAGAGAGAGAAAGAGAGAGAGAGAGAGAGAGAGAGAGAGAGAGAGAGAGAGCGCGCAGAAAGGAGGAAGGGAAGAAAAGAGGGAGGGAAAAAGCATTTAAGACAAGACCTCATGTCAATTGTCCCCTAAACATACCTTTCCAAGCAGTGGGCAGCAGTCAACACCCACTCTGAGGATATCAAGGTGCCTCCACAGAAGTGGAGGTTTCCAAACCTAGAAAGAGGATTTAGTTCAAATTTTAGTTAAATGGATACTTGGTTCTGCTCCATTGTACAGAAAGACACGTTCACACAATTTTGATCTTATTCATATTCCCAAACATGAGGATGGTAGTAACTTTGACCTGTGCTCCAGTAATGAGATTTTTCAGAAGGGCCCATCTATGCCACTTCTTCTGATGCCTGAGGCAGGCACAGGCATAGCGTGTACTTCTTCTGATGCCTGAGGCAGGCACAGGCATAGCGTGTCCACAGGATAGCAAAGGTAAGTGATTCCAGAATGAAGATCTACAGCCATGGCTTTCACCACACAGCCTGGGACTCCAATAGAAGCGACCAGCCCAAGACCTTCCCCTGAGGTCTCTTTCATTTTTATGACAAGATCTGTGCAAGGTCTGAAGAATCACCTTCAAGGAGCCAGATGGGATCTTGAATAACAGTAACTCATAGAAGTCTTCTGATCCTTCCTGAGAAACTTTATTTTGGGGGGATGTTTCCTGAATCACGTACTTTCTAGGACTGCATAGGCAGTGGATAGCTCAGAATAATGGTGTGAACCATGTGGAACCAGATTGTAATGAAGAGGAGTACAGATAGGAAGTGCACGATGGCAGCATGTTGATAAGTCAGTGAGGACGTAGACCACCACACAGTTTAGGAAAGAATGAATCTGAAATATGTGAAAGGTGAAAGCTCTATAGAGCAAGGAGTTTCTAAACGATAAAAAGAAAAATGAACAAAAACAGCAGAGTGAAATGCAATGTGATCAGGTTTATCGATGGCATTTCATAAACTTACAAAAGGAAGTCTCTTTAGGGGAAAACAGCAATTGAGCACAGTCACCCTGGCATAGAAGTGAGACGAGGAAGCAAAACAGGCAGGTGGATGGGCCTGTTTCCTGTGGGTGCTTCCTGAGAGATACCCAAGAAAACTGAACTTATGAAAGGCATATTACACTGAAACAACACCCAAAATATTCAGGTTCTGTGGGATCGGACTGATCACTCTTAATTTATAGGGATCATGACCTATACTTTTTTTATGTTTGTGAATGGATGAGTAGCCTCTGCATTGAATTCAATGATCCAGAAAAGTGTCAAAAGAAAAAGAATCTGTGCCTGTGATAGACTGTAGATAATTTTGTCCTTGCTCTCCCAATCCACAAAGTGTCACATATCTAAAAACTTCTCTTTCTTTTCATTTGACAGTGAGACAACAGATATCCACAGAAACCCTCGGAGCATTTTGAGTATTTTCCAGCAACGTCGGAACATGGTGTGAATCACTGTGCCTGCCTATAGATTTTGATGGAGCTGCCCAGATCAAGAAAAAGATTCTAATTTTGGCCATTTTCACGGTAGAGAACCTATAAAAAATCTATACGTGTATTAATTTTTGTAGCTTCTTTCCTCCTTCAGAAAACTTAGACGCAGGTACTGATGCATCAGCTGTGTGAGTTCTGTGTAAATGTAGAAGAGTTTTGCAGAGCTTACGTGGAAGTACAGTATAGATGGTTTCCGGGCCTGTTCTTACCTTGTTCTGAGACTGACTTGCCAGGGCCAGGAATGTGCATGGGACACACACCCCCCTACAACCCTTCCAGGACACTTCTTCGGCTCCACTTGAGGCTTCCCACAATCATATGAAGGGGTCGCTATGGCACAAGGTGGGAAAGAAATCCCATTTGAGTCAAGGTAGCAATTACGTGGTGTAATTCAAGACATTCCAAGCACTGAGTTTTTGACATCTCAAAGGCCAAACTCAATAGTAAAATCACAAGCATATTTTGAAACATTTTCTCTAAGTTTCAAAAGTGGTAGTAGACAACACACAACCCTCTCTTTTCAAGGAAATATAACCACTTTGTAATTATTTTGTTAGAGAAGTGATCAAACAAATTGGTGTAGTTTGGCATTAGAATGATATTTTTTTCTGAGAGGACCTGGATTGGCACAAACGGTGATTTGTCATTGTTATTCTGACTCCATGCAGTATGTTTAGAACATGATGCCATCCTTCCCATCATCACATCATCATCACCATTGCCACCTAAACCATATAAAGTTGACTGAAAACCATAATTGTCATCCCTGCTGAAAGGCATGAAGGTTTCTTTTTCCATGTGAGTCTCTGTGTGTGCACGTGTGTGGGCGTGTGTATGTAATTGTAGGTAACGAAGATAACTGTCTTATGTTGAAATGTTGCTTCTCTCAGCCAGCTTCAGGACAGCTCCTCTGGGGAGCCTCCCATGACTAACCTACTACCGTTGGGGTGACTTTCACACACGTGCCTTTATTCTTCTTTTACCTCCTCCCTGCCTTTTCTCTGCAGCCAGCCCACAAAGTCTCTGGAGGTAGGGAAAGTGTCCCATCTTTGGTATTACCCACCAGTGCCTACAGCAGTGCAAGGGCTACAGAGGGTGCTCAAAAATGCTTCTCTGTTGTCTCCAGCCCTTCAAGGTCTTGGATAATATAAACATTAATATAGTTAATAATTATTCATATAATTATTGATAACAACTGCAAGAGGAAATTCCTTTCCAACTAACCAGAGATTCTATGCTCTGGTGAATCTGGAACCTGAGTTTTCTAAATAACTTTTCATTTGCCATGGGTTGTTCTGAGAATCTTTGGAAGTCTTTCTTAAAAAAGAAGCATGGCATAGAATGAAATTGTCTTCTCGATTTCATCGTCTAGGGCTGAGCTCAATTTCTGCTAGTATGCCTTACATACAGTAGACATGCATCCTTGTACTAAAAGAGTTATGGTACCCTGCTCCTACTATTCAGAACAAAACTGAACGTTTCTATTTATTTTTACTTATTATTATTTATGTGGCAGATGTTGGTGGAAAGGAAATAGTTATTAAAATCATTCACCACCAGAGGCTCTAGCTTTCTCAAGCAGGAGTCAAACCTGAATATCCCACCAACCACATCCTTCTGCAGGAAATAGTCCTCAGGATTTCCAAGTGTCTGATGGATGCCCTTCTCACCAAATTTGGGATTAACCTCACCTGTCTCACATAAAGGCAAGGTGGGGGACCTCACATTGCACTGGGAAAACTCTTGTTCCCATTTTCCCTTCTTTCTCCAAACTCTAAGGACCTGATTCTCATACATCCTCAATGTAGGTGAGGACACCAGAATTGCACCTGGGAAGCCACTGCACTTCCCTTCCATGGGAGTCAAAGGTGCATGAGCCCCAGGTATGGCAGTGGGGTCTGAGGCAGGAAAGTCAGTCTGGTCCCAACTTCAAGGCAGCCTGTCAAGGACAGAGAGCCCCAGCAGTGAGAGGCAGTGGCATGTACCAGACAGGGCCAGAAGTGGAGAACTGGCACTGACCCCATCAAGGGACTTGGAAGTAGAGGGGCCACCAAAATGCTTCTGCAGAACAGGCAAAAGCACCCACTAGAGGAAAAAGTCAGCTATCAACTCACACTAAATGCAGAGGCCACAATGCCACATTACAATAATACTGGCCAAGAAGAATCTTTCCTATCATCCTAATCCCTCCTTCCTCCCTCTTGTTCACCCAGGAGTGGCCCAAATGCAAAGCTGGGCAGTGTGGCTCCCATAATCTTCATCACTGCCCTGTACCACCTCCCCATCACTGCCTTGCACTACCTCCCCAGGCAATCTCGGGATGGTGGTCTTCAGTGGATAGGAGGCCAAGCTACTTCTCCCAGCCCAAGGTCCCTCCACATGGCAGACCAAACCACAAGCAGTCAAATTATGCAAAGGAAAAGTCCAGGGTGGTTTTCTGTAACTAGTACTGAAAAATTGATTTGTCAGTGGAATGTTAAATATGGGACAATTCCAAGTAGCTGCTTCTTTTTTTTTTTTTTTTTTTTTTTTTTTTGCAGGAATATCCATGGATTTGTTATTCCAACTGTTTAAGAACTAATGTCAACTCCCTTTCCCCTGACCCAAGGCTCATATTCCCAAGAAGAGTCTCAGAGCAATAAGCAGTCTCTAAGCTATGTCCCTAATGCGACTTGTGAGTAGTCAACTTATGAGAAAGGCCGTCTGGGACTACAGAGCTGCACTAACCTTCCCTGAATTCCTAGGGTGGCCATCTGTAGCTTTACAATGTGCATTACATGCTTAGCTGTTTCCCGCTTTATTTTCTTTCTTGGTTCTCAGCTGCGGAAGGGGCAAGTTTTTCATCTGAATGACTCTAAATTTGTTTTTCATGCATCCCACGCTAGTCATGGCATCATTCAGTGGGACCATCCTGGGGCTGACTAGATTACCTCTAGGCTTGCTCTTTGGGAATTTTACATTTATTTATGCGTGTGAAGGGTGATGGGTGTGTTCTGTAACAAATGTGGCCAATAGTAGAGCAGGTTCAAAATGACCATGACAAAGAGCGGGGTCTGGTGGAAGGGCCAGCCATCTCCTCCCCAGAAGCACTGTGCTAAGACGCCCTTTTCTTTTTTTGTTGCAAATTCATATTAAGGAAGCAGTTTCCTTACCAAAAAGAAGGCAACCTACCACACTGAGGAATATCACAGTAGTCGAAAAGTTTTCTTGGGTTTGTTGTGTAGCACCAGGGACCACCGGCGTCACCATCAGGGTTACGGCAGTACTGAAAACAAGGAGGAATGTAAGCTCCAGCTTACACAGGGCAGGAGAGGGAGAAGGTGTTCTGAAGCTCATGCATTTCACGTCTAACGTCTATCCTTAGAAGACTTAAGGGAGCCCTTCCTTCTCCCTCCCTCTCTCCCTCCTTCCTTCCTTCCTTCCTTCTTTCTTTTCCTTTTGAGATGAAGTCTCACTGTCGTCACCTAGGCTGGAGTGCAGTGGCACGATCTCAGCTCACTGCAACCTCCACCTGCTGGATTCAAGAGATTCTCCTGCTTCAGCCTCCCAAGTAGCTGAGACCACAGGCATGAATCACAATGCCTGGCTAACATTTTTTTTTTTTTTTTTTTTTTTTTTTTTTTTTTTTTTAGTAGAGATGAGATTTCACCATTTTGGCTAGGCTAGTCTCGAATTCCTGACCTCAGGTGATCTGCTCACCTCAGCCTCCCAAAGTGTAGGGATTATAGGCGTGAGCCACCATACCTGGCCTTCTCTTTTCTTTTCTTTTTTCTTTCTTATTTTTATTATATTTTTTGGCAAAGTTATTTTTGAATGCCCTAAAGCCATCAGTCCTTTGCCCCTGTTCAAAAGGAGCTATGAGGCCGTACCCCTAAACCGGGAGTGATGACCCTGAGGGGTCTTTGGAGAATGAGTCTCCCTTTCAGAAGCCTGAGCCAGTGGAGGTCTTAGAGCCTCAGCACCGAAGGACAGTGGGACATCATTGGTGTGCCTTGTCCCTGGAGAGCTCAGTGCTCACCTACCCAACGAAGCCTGTTTGCTGTTGATTCAGAAATGTTTATTTCTATGCATTGTGCACCTTCCATGGGGCAAGACACAGAAAGACAGTATTGTCCTTCTCTTCATGTGATGCTGTGATAGAATAAGAAATGTGTATTTGATCTCTGCCCCCCAGTTCCTGACAAAGAGCTCCTAAATCCCTTAGAGGTTCCTGAGTGATGGGAGCATCTTTTGTTTGAATGAAGCAATTCTTGGTGAGTTCCTGGATAGTCTCAGGATGTGGCTGGTTGCCAAGGGAATCAACCATGTGATTTGAGAGTTGTAACTGTTCAGCCCACCCTCCAACTTCCAGGGAGGAAAGAGGAGCTGAAGGTGAGCCAATCACCAATGGCTAATGGTGTATTCAACTGTGCCTCTGTAATGAAGCCTCCATAAAAACCCAACACGACTGTACTTGGAGAGCTTCTGGGCTGCTGAACTCTTGGGGTCCGAGAGCTGGTGCACTGGAGAGGGCGTGGAAGCTCTGAGCCCTTCCCACGTGCCTTGCCCTGTGTATCTCTTCCGTCTGGCTGTTCACGGGGATCCTTTGTAATATCTTTTATAATAAATGGGTAAATAAAAGCAACATGTTCCCCTGAGTTCTGTGAGCCACTCCAGCAGATTAAGAAACCCAGTGTGGGTATGCAGAAAAACAGATTTTTATTCAGTCAGGCAGAAGTACAGGTCACAGCCTGGAACTTGGGATTGGCATCTGGACTGGGACGGTCTTGTGGAACTGAGCCTTGACTTGTGGGATCTGACCTTGTCTCCAGATAAGAGTGTCAGGATTGGGTTACATTGCAGGACACCTGGCTGGTATCTGCTGGACACTCGCTTGGGGTATGAGGAGAAATCCCCCCACATCTGGTGTCAGAAGTGTTATGTTGTGTGGTGTGAGAGTCGGAGAACACAGACACTTTAGTTTTTCTTCGATCTCAGTCCTCCCTACACAGAGGCCGTCTCAGAGAATGCGTGAGACCAGGGGAAGTCCCACTGTGCCCTGATGGCCCATCCAAATCTTTTCTAGAAAAATCGGACTTAAACATCATAAAGGGCATCTTTGATCACGGAACCTCACATACAAACACTAGAAACCAGAAACAGTGCCCAATAATGGAAACTTTAAAGAAATGTCAGGAAGGGAAGAGGCCTGAGAACCCTCACCTGTGTGGAGGTTGGCTGACCTGTGCTGCTTGTACTTTTCATTCTAAGGGCAATTATATTCTAGCTTAGCCCCCTGGAGCCTTCCCAAAATTTTCTTCTGCCCCTCTCCCCCACTAGCAAAAAAGAGCAGTCCAAACAGATTTTCTGAAATACAGAACCAATTCTGTTTGCAAAGATTGGTGAACAAAAGGCAAAAGAGTCCAAATCAAAGTGGCTTACGTTTTTTTCCAGACCTGCCCGTGGATGTGTTTCTGGAGTGAAACTGTTATGTTTATGGGGCTCCTGGGCAGCCCATTCTTGGCATGGAATTCCAGTAACAGTGGTTGCCTTCTTGCCCCGGTATTTTTTCCCATTCCCGATTATACACTCTGTAGGGGAAAAATGGATGATTATGAACAGCCGTATAGACCCAGGATTATATGGAATCAATGCAGTCATGTCAGGTTTCTCGAGGATGACAGAATCAAGGGCCACATTCCTCAGAAACTGCAATGCTGAAGACTGCAATGGACACTACCTACTTGAAGAAATTACTGGAGACGCTTATTGGCTTGGAAAGAATCATGCATTTGGCAGCATGTTAGAATAGGGAGTTGGACTGGGACGCTGAGATAACCCATTTTAGAACAAGGTGAGTGGTTAAGCTGAGCACCCTGGAGGGTTTGCGCCTGTCCTAAAGACACGCCCATTCACATTGTGCCAAAAGTCACGCCTCTGACTCCCTGAGAGGGTACACTGAGGCTTCCTTCCACATGGCAGACCCTCAGAAAACACTTAATTTCCCATGCAGCATGGAAGGCTTCTGCATCAGTGAGATTTCCCATGGCTTTTCATCCTAGTGTCCAAGTGTGTAGGTGTCTGGCCACAGACTTCTTACCTTGTTCAGAAGGAGTCTCTACATTTGGAACTTGGGCAACAGACGGAGGTGACGCGACACTCCCTTCTGTTTCTGAGCATTTTTTCAGGTTGCAATACTCCCACCTGACCGTGGGGTCTGTGGTGAAACACCAAGGGCTTTTATCGGCATCTGGATTCCTGCAGTAGTTCATTGTCAGGTCACTGTAAATTCCAAAACAATACAGGTCACAAGACTTGGGAGAATATTCAAGGGCACCCGGCACCCTCTGCAGCTTGTTTTAACAAAGTGTTATCAAGTGGCTTTGAAATATTACCATTATAGGTACAACAATGTTGTCACAAGCACAAGTGGTCCTCAACTTTAGAGAACTGTGTACATTTCACAGAGAGATTTTAATTTTAGTTTTAAAAATCAAAAGTGGTATATGCTCCATATAAAAACTCAGATCATACATAAATGTGTAAATGAAAGGATCAGAATATCCTCCTTCCACCTTCTGCCAAATACATTTCTCAGGAATAACAGGTACAGATTTTGAAGCATATATTTTATACTTTTATGTCCATAAAATATATTTCTAACTGTCTAGCTCTCTATATTTCTCTCTATAGGACTATATTGTAACATGTGCATTGGAACTAAAATGTATTTCTCCAAGGAGGAAATGACATCCAAGATGATATCATTCCTAGGCCAGTCACCTTGCTCTAAGTACTCATAGTATAACTAAAGGGATCTTCTTTTACTGTGAAAAACAGCTATGAAAATAGTGTTACTGTCAATACCATGTCAGGTGTGTCAAGCGGGTTTGTTTCTGCAAGAATTATCAAAGCTGCCCTGAAAAACTAGCTCCCTGGCAGGATGCCATTTCTCTAGGATGGGTTCATGGGTGGGACCGCCTCTCCTGCTCGCAGTCCATCCTCTGCTTGCTGCAGCTACTCCGGGACTGAGGGACTGGGGGATATGATGAAAGAATAGTGGGACTCAAGGCATAAAGAGAGACGGCTGGGTACACTATGGGATCTGAAAAGGTTGGGCAGCTAAGGAGGAGTCAGAAAACAGTGGAGTAAGAGGCAAAGCAGGTGAGGACCCCGGGCTGGGGGCATCTTGGAGAATGCACTTTCCCTCATGCCTCCAAAGAGTGTTGCTCCAACCTCTCAGAATCCTCCCATTCATGACCCATGGCTGCCTGTGAAAACAGGAAAGGTATCATGGACCATGGGAATGCAACACTAACCTCTCTAGAGACTCTACACATGTGACCTAGTCTCAAGCCCAGATGCCCCGTTTGAGGAAGCTTGTTGTCCAAACAGGTGGATGTGTTAAAAGGCTGAGTATTTGAAACAAACTTGCAGTCTTTTCAGTTGAGGTATACGTTCACATAGAGTGAAATGCACAGATCTTAAATGTTGTTTGGTGAGTTTTGATGTTCACCCATACTTTTGTAACCCACACTCCCATATGATACAGAACACTTCCATTACTCTAGAAACGCCCTTGTGTCACTGCTCATTCAGTTCATGCTACCCTCTTCCCATGGCCAGAGGGAAATACTATGGATTTCCTTTACCAAAAGTTAGTTCTGCCTCTCCTCAAACCTGATATAAATGAAGTCATGCAGAATATACACTTTTGTGTCTGCCTTCTTTCCTTGATATAATATTTTTGAGTTTCGTCCATCCTATTTTAGAGGGTCAGTCGCTTCTTCATTTTAATTGCTTAATACTATTCCATTATATGAATAGATCACAAATCATTCATTTGTTTTCTCACTGATTGACATTGTAGTTGTTTAAAGTTTGGGGTTATAATAACGAGAGCTACTGTGAATATTCTTGTAGATCTCTTTGTGGACTTCTGTTTTCATTTTCATGAGGTACGTATTGAAGAATAGAATTGCGGTTTTGTGGGGTAGACACATATTTATTTAACTTTATGAAAAACAAGCAGACTGATTTCCAAAGTGGTTGTACCATTTTGTATTTAAGCAGCATATGAAAGAATTGCACATCCTTGTTCCACATCAGTGACATCACTTCTTGTTGTGTCTCCTTAATGATACCCACGTCCATTTAGTGTTGGTGACATCTTGTGATGGTTATCATTCTTATTTCTTTAATGGCTAAGATGTTGACCATTTTTTCAGGTGCTTATTGTCCGTCTGTCCATCATTCCCCGAGAAATTCCCTATTCAGTTCTGTTGCCCATTTTATTTAGGTCATTTGTCCTCTGATTAGTGAGGGGAAGAAATGTTTATACTGTAGATATAAGCCATTTGTCAGAGATATGGATTGACAGTATTTTTCTTCCAGTCTGTTACTTACCTATTGATTTCTTAACAATGACTTTTGAGGAACATAATTTTCATTTTATGAAATCCCAAATTATAATTTATTTTCTTTTAGAGCTAGTGTTTTCTGGGTCCTGCCTGAAAAAAATTTTGCCTTTCTCAAGTTTGTGAAATATTATATATTTTCCAGGAATTGTTATATTTCAGCTTAAGTTTTAGCTCTTGCATTTAGATCTAGGAGCTTTTGCACATTAATTTGGAGTGAAAAGTAGAAGCCAAATTTGTTTTTATTTTTGTTTTCTAGATGGGTATCCAATTGTTTCACAATTATTTTGGAAAAAATGTTTTTCCCTATTGAATTACCTTGTCACCTACATAGGAACTAAATTGACCATGTATATGTGGATCTGTTGCTGGACCATCCATTTCTATATCTGTATACTTTTTCCCCCCAATACCACATATCTTGATTACTATACCTTTATAAGTCTTTACCTCTAATTAAGTAAGTCCTCTAACTTTTTTATTCTCTTTAAATATTGTCCTGGTGATTCTAGCATATGCATTTTGTCACATTTTTCAAAGAAAGACTGCTGGAATTCTGCTTGGGTATGGGCTGAATCCAATGATCAGTTTGGTGAGAAATGATATTGACTCTTAAAATATAAGCATGATATATATTTATTTAGATCTTTTAATTTCTTCCTTAACAATGTTTTTTAGTATGCAATGTATACTTCTTGTGCATATTGGGTTAATTGTATCACTAAATATTTTGTGGTTTTCATACTATTGTCAGTGATATTGCTCTGACATTTTTATTTTCCAATTGGTCATTGCTAGTGTGTAGAAATACAACTACTTTTTTGTATATTGACCATGTATATACTTAAATGTTCTTCAATCTTGAAAAATTTTAATTATTATTAGTCTTTAGGACTCTCTGCATCCATTAATAAGATTTCTGTGAATACAGGCAGTTTTACATCTTTGTTTACAAACTTTAGGATCTTTCTTTTCTTCCTTTTTTCTCTCTTTTTGTTTTTGCTTTCAGGTCTTATGGCAATGGCTGCGACCAATGTAGTAAAATGTCGACTAGATGTACTGAGAGCAAGCATATTTTTCTTATTTCCAGTTTTAGAGAGAAAACATTAATCTTTCACCATTAAGTTGATGTTATCTGGAGGTCTTTTGTAGATGTCCTTGATCAAGTTTAAAGAAGTTCCAGTCTATTCATAGTTTTCTGAGACATTTTATCATGGGTGAATGTTAAATTTTGTCACATTTTCTTCTGCATCTATTGACATAATCACATGACTTATCACTTTTATTCTCTTAACATATTGGATTATATGAATTGTTTTGTAAATGTTAAGCCAACCTTGCATTCTTGAAGAGAAGCTTCAGTTGTTTGGGATGGTCATCATTTTAATGATTAAAATTTTGTTACATCTTTTTATGTTTATGTTCACAACACATAATGTGCTATAGTTTCTTGCAATATCCTTTTGTCTATTTTTTTTACAACTGGGTGTTTTTGTTTTCTCACAAAGAGAGTTGAGAAGTGTTCCCTTCTCCTCTATTTTCTGTAACAGATCATGAAGAATTAGATTTATTTTTTTGTAATAATAAAATTATTACTGAAGCCAACTGGGCTTAGAGTTTTCTCTTTGAGAAATTTATTGATTTATTAATATATTAACATATTAAAGGTTATATACACATGTTGTCTTTAGAGATATCAGATTGGTTAGAAATTCAGTTTATTCAGTGTCCAATTTGCTTATTTGTTTTTTTCTAAGGAATTAGTCCATATTATCTAGGATATTGAATTTGTTGACATAAAGTTGCTCTTGATATTTGTTTATTAGCTTTAATATGTAAAAGATCCTATAGCAATGACTCCTCCCCTCTTTTAGTCCTGATGTTGATGGCTGTGCTCCCCACTTTGTCATCAGTTTAGGCAGAGCTTTATCAATCATGTGGATCTTTCAAAAGAACCAATTTTCTGTGTCACGGATTTACTCAATTGTTTGTCTATATTCTCACACATTGGATTTCACTGATTTTCATTCTTTCTTTCCTTCCATTTACCTTGGGTCTTACTTGCTTCTCCTTTTCTAGATTTTTAAGTTATCTTAGATCAACAATTCTCAAAGTTTTTGGTCTTAGGACCCCTTTAACTCTTAAAAAGTATTGGGGATCCTAAAGAGCTTTCATTTTGTAATATATGCTATGAATATGTATTGCATCCCAAACTGAGAATGCTTTTAAACGTAAGAGATAATCACACATTTTATTAGCCACCAGAGAGATAATGTGATCAAACATTATGTAGCCTCTGAGAAACTCCACTGTATGCTTGTCAGAAAATAAAAGTGAAATGGCAAATAAAATCTTTTTTTAAATTAAAAATGTTTTAACCTCATAGACTATCTCTGAAGGGATCTCAAGAGACCTCAAGTTTCTCCAGACCATATTTTGAGAAATGTTGCCTTAAGCCATTGATTTTTAAATGTTTCTGTTTTCTGCTAAAAGCATTAAAAGTTATAAAACCCTAAAAACATTTGCTGCATTATGCAAGGTTTGATCTATTGTATTTTTTACTATTATTCAGTTCAAAACTTTGCTAAATTTTTTGATTTCTTCTTTGACTTAACGGAGTATTTGGAAATGTTTTATTTCCATATATTTGATAACTTCCCCAATTTTTGTTATTTGTGTCTCATTTAATTCTGTTTTGCTCAGAAAACAGATTCTGTATCATTTTAATTCTTTTAAATCTATTGAGACTTGCTGTAAGGTCACACATATGGTGTGGTGAATGCTCCATACATACTTGAATGTGTATTCTGCAGTTTGGCATAGTGTTAAATAGGTTGACACTTTCCTTTAAAATGTATATATTTCTGAATTTTTGCATTTTTTTCTATTATATTTTGTTTGGGAAGATGTATAATCATACGGAGAGAGACATTAGGATATCTCCAACTCTAATTTTGGTCTTATCTGTTTGTCTCTTTAGTTATGTCGGTTTTTGCTTCATAGACCAGAAGGGCTCTTATAAGGGTGCAACCCATTTAGCATTGTTAAGTCTTGATGAATAAACCCTTTTTACTTAAGAAATAACTTTGTCATCTTGGTATTATTTCTTGTAGATTACTTTAGGATTAACATTACCACTTCAGCTTTCTTCTGATTCTTGTTTTCATGGTATATCATTTTCCACATTTGACTTTTGAACTAGCTCTTTACAATTAAAGAGCATGTATGGTTAAAAACAAAAACAAAAACAAAAACATAATTGGACTTTGATTTCTATTCAGCTTAACAATCTCTGCCTTTTATTTACAATGTTTAATCCCTTTATATTTAATATACTTAGGAGTGGTTCAGTTAAGTCTACCATAATGCTATGTATTTTCTCTCTTTGCCATATCTTCTTCATTATTTTTTCTTCCTTTCTTTCCTTCTTTTGGCTAAATGGAATATTCCTATTATTACCTATTCCTCTAAGTTTAAATTTTTTCAGTTTCTCTAGGATTTACAATAACCCTCTTTAATTTACCACCTTCAACCATGTGTTTATATTATATAACCTCATGGATAATGTAAGAAACTTACAACGGTATACTTCCATTTATTGCCTACATTATTTATGTGACTATTTTAACATTTTTACCTTTACATATGTTAAATTAACAATACATTGATATAACATTGATATAATATTTCTTCAAGTAGTCAATTATTATCTTTTTTTTTTTTTTTTTTTTTTTTTTTTTTTTTTTTTTTTGAGATGGAGTTTTGCTCTGTTACCCAGGCTGGAGTGCAATGGCACCATCTCAGCTCACCGTAACCTCTGCTTCCTGGGTTCAAGTGATTCTTCTGCTTCAGTCTCCTGAGTAGCTGGGATTACAGGTGCATGCCACTGCCACCATGCCTGGCTAATTTTTGTATTTTTAGTAGAGATGGGGTTTCACCATGTTGGGCAGGCTGGTTTCAAACTCCTGACCTCATGATCCACCCACCTCAGTCTCCCATGAATTATCTTTTAAAGAAATTAAGGCATTAAATATAAGTCTTTTACATTTGCCATTTCCAGAGTTCTTCATTACTTAGTATAAAGTTACATCTGACACTATTTTTCTTCTACCAAAATAGATTTCTAGTACATCTTTTATTATATAAGCCTAATAATAAAATATTTTCTTAGTATTTTGTTTATTTTGTGTGTGGGGGGTGCAGAATATGTATTTATATAACATTCATTTTCAAGGGATATTTTTGCTGGATATAACATTCTATGTTAATTTAAAAAATTTTAAAAATCACTTTAAAGGTGTTATTTCATGGTTTCTGACCAGCATAATTTCTAATAAGAAGGCGTCTCAGTCATTTTTGCCACTATGCTTATGTGTGAACATGTATTTTCTTCTTCTGGCTTCTAATAGGATTTTCCTTGTTACTTCAAGTATTTTTTGTCCCAATATCTCTTTCCTTTCTTGTGACTTGCTTTACACATATACGAAATCTTTTGATGTCTTCATAGATGTTCTTGAAGCTCTGTTTCTTTATTTTCTCGGTCTTTGTATGTGTGTGCTGCACTTTGTATCACTTCTATGGAATTGTTTTCTAGCTGATTTTTTCTTCCGTAATGTCTAACCTGATGGCAAAGTTATCCAGTACATTTTTAATTAAACATATACATTTTGTAGTTATTTAATTTCCATTTGGCTGTTTTATAATTTTCCTCTCTTGATATTATCCATTTGTTTCTTTCATTTTCATGTTTTCTTTAAATCCTTGAACACAATTATGATAAGCATATTTCAAATATTCTTGTCAGTTTCATCATTCTTGGGTCTATTTGTATTGAGTGCTTTTTATCCTGGTTATGGATCACACTAAATGGTTTTTGTATGTCTAGTAAAGTTATAAATTTAGGTCACACATTGTGGATGCCACATAACTGAGCAACTTGATTTTGTTGTTTACCTTTAAAGAGGGTTGAATTTTTCTCTGGCAGGCAGCTAATTTACTTGGAGGTAATGTTGTTTTTTTTTTTCAGACTTCCTTTTCAGCTTTACTATGCTGTTTCTGGAGCGGCCTTTATCATAGGAATACACTAATTCTACTCCCAAAGTATGGCTTTATGTGGTGACTACTGAATGCCTGAGATATTCAGCGAGGTCTTTCCTCTGGCTAGTCAAAGCTCAAATATACTCCAGTGCTATGTGAGCTCTGGCATCTCCATTGAGCTCACTGTTCCCCTGCAGTTGTTCATTCCCCAGTAGCTGTTCTTTATCCTACTTTCTCTCTGGAAACTCTCCCTGTGCATATGCAGCTTTCTATTTAGCCAAAGACTTGAGGACTTTCTATGCACATTCCTGGAGCTCCTTTCCTCCACAAATCCTTTCACATTAGTGACTAGCCTAGAAAATCTCAGCTGTTTTAGTAATCCCAAACTCCAATCTCTTTCCTCAGTTCAGCAAGACTGCTGTGGTCAGTTGGGCTCCATCTCCTTGTTCTTCAACCCAAGAAGGGTCTCCGGGAACAAAGCCAGAGTAATTATGGAGTCGATCTCATTTGATTTCCTTTCTAAATTGTCTCAGTGTATCTGTTCTCCAATATCTGAAAACTTTTTTTCCATATATTGTATACTCATTTATGGAAGAAAGGCTGTCCTTGTCAGACCTGGTTTTTCGTTCATCTAAATGACCCTTTTTGCTTTTCAGCATGTGTCTATTTCCTGACTCTCATTTGCCTTCCTGCTTTTGTTCTTCATGTCATATCCTTCAGCCCATATTCTTTCAGACCACTGGTGCTCAGGACCCACTGTGTTTATACAGGTCAGAATATATATATTTATGGTATATATTCTGATATATATGATGTATATACACACAGACACACATATGTGTGTATATTCACACACACACACACACACACACACACAGAGAGAGAGAGATATAAAGTATATATATTTGTGACCCAAGACAAAAATAGCAAATTCAATCTTCATTTCAGGGGCTGGAGGTTAAAATGATATCTTTCTATGGTAGAAAGATTGCACTGATGTTTAGTGGATGTTGTGGAATGGTACTGTTTCTGAGCATTTGCTCATATGTACTCCTGAGCTTTCAATTAATATGACCTCACCACTTCCATATATCCTCCTGCTTCCATAAAACTACACAGGAAAAATAGCCAGCTTAAAATTTCTCTTCTCACAGACGCTTTCTTCAAAAACAAGATTCTCGAGACATTTTTCTACACATTTTGCGTCTAAGAGAAATTTGGTCCTAGGAAGTTAGCTTGAAGCATGGCTCTTTTAGCAGAAATTTCAGTTGGCTGATGCCCCTCTTACAGTAAAAATCAAATACATACGCATTTGGGTACTTTCCTGGGGTCTTCTGATGCCGGTGCGGTGTCATAGATGACCAAGATTGACACTTCTTTCCTGTGACAGTGGTGGAGGATGTGCCTCGGTAACTCTGTCCATCACCATGGTAGCAATCATGGACCACAGGTGTTTGCTCAGGTGGTGCTGAAATTAAAATAAAAGAAATCAAGCTTAACAATTACTGAAAAAAAAGAAACATGAAGAAATTTATGACAAAAACAGCACAGTGGCCTCTGAGAATTATGACTGTTTTCTATATTAGCAGACAGATGAACAGAAAAAAAAAACACATTTCTAGCATTTTAGAACATTAATAAGTTCTTAGCAATATTTCATTTAAAACTGGTGGGGGCTGGGGGAAGAAAAGATAGAGTGCTTACAACTGGAAATTGCATTCATGTGCAAGCTCTTTTTTATGGATCTCTACTGAGTGCTCATGAGAACATGGGGGCAGATGAGAGGAGGATGCATTCGGCAGGGCAGGCTGTAGGTGGTGGTTGGCTGTCAGTTGGGGGCAGACATGAAACTCTTGCACATTTCCCTAAATCCTTCCTCAAACAAAGCCAAAGGTCAAAGCTTCTGAGTGATAGGGCCAGAGATGGTCCTTGAAGATTGTCTCTTGTCCTATCACCAAGAAGCTTTGGTCTTTGCCTGCAGCTCTGGTCTTTGCCCAGAAGTTTTGTCTTTGCCTGCAGTTCTACATTTCTAGGACTGCAGGCAAAGATCTACCACTTCTGAGTGGTAGAGGCAAAAATCATATTCCCTTGGAGAAGTTACAGGGAATTATCTTGTGCCCCGCATCCTGCATTGCAATAAAGCAGAAGTCTACTACTCTTTCTCTCCAAACCCACCACAGGTACAAGTTCCATCAGAAGGAGGTGCAAGAACACTGAAAAATCACTGCTTTCAAAGCTTAGCTGTGCAGAACTGGCCTAAGGGGGAGGCAGACCAGGGAGCTAAGTATTCTCTTATGTTCAACAAAAAGTGAGCATTCAGTAACAAGAAACAGCCGAGTATCAATGGCGTTAGATTAAGTGTATGAAGATATTGCCTCTGTATTGCAGGCATGCAGTGACTGTGGAAATCTGAGAATGAATAGGAACACTGAGAAAACTGTTCAGCACCCCAGGCCTCACTCTAAGCAAAAGATAGCAGCAGGGCATCACTGGAAGAATTTAAATTTGTAGCGCACTAAGGGTAAAACTAATAATCACAAATCCCAAACTCAGTTAAACTAGTAACTACATTGACTCAATTATCCACAACGTATATTTGCAAGAGAAGGGTGTCTGTTTCAAAGTATAAATAATATTTACTGTAAACTCTACTGTTCTTCTGTTTATAATGTCCAGTGTTTGATTAAAGAATTACAAGAATTACACCAAAAACCCAAGGGGAAAAGAAAGCCACTGTTGACTAATAAAGCAATCCAGAGAGCCAGACTCAGAGAATATCCATTTGGAAACTATCAGATTGGGATTGTGTGATACCTAAGTTAATATGTTAAAGGATCTTGTGGTAAAGGTGGATAATATGCATGGATAGGTGAAGAATTTCATCAAAGAGATGGAAACTATAGAAAAGAGTAAAATAAAAGTGCTAAAAAATTCATAATATCAGAGATGAAGAATTCTCTCAATGGGCTGAGGAGATGACTAGACACAAGTGATGAAATAATCCAGAAACTTAGAAATAAGTTACTAGAACTTATCCAAACTAACATACAAAGAAAGAAAAAAGACTTACTGAAAAAAAAAAAAGAACAAGCTTACAAGAATTATGAAAAAACATCAATGTTCTAGCATGTGGGTACTTAGAGTCCAAAAAGGAAAATACAGAGAGGGAAACCTGAAAACAAACAAAACATTTGAACAGATAATGGCTATGATTTTACAAGGACAATGAAAATCAACAATGTAGGCTGGGCACAATTGCTCACACCTGCAATGTCAGCACTTTGGGAGGCCGAGGCAACGGATCATCTGAGGTCAGAAGTTCGAGATCAGCCTGGTCAACATGGTGAAACCCTGTCTCTACCAAAACTACAAAAATTAGCTGGGCCTGGTGGCACGCCCCTGTAGTCCCAGCTACTTGGGAGGCTGAAGCAGGAGAATCACTTGAACCTGGGAGGCAGAGGTTGCAGTGAGCTGAGATGGTACCACTGCACTCCAGCCCGGGTGACAGAGCATGACTCAAAAAAAAAAAAAAGAATCAACAATCTACAAATCCAGGAGCTCAGAATATCTCAAGCAGATTAAATACAAAAAAATAATAATAAACACATCATAGTCAAACTGTTGAAAAACAAAGATGAGAAAATCTTAAAGGCATTCAGAGAAAAATGACCTATTGAAAACATAGGAACAAAAATCAGAGCTCTAGACAGAAACTGTTTAAAACAGAAGATAACTGAACATCATCATTAAAGTGCTGCAAGGAATGAAACTCTCCATCCAGTATCTTTATTCAGCAAAATTACTTTTAAAAAACTGAAGCCAAAAAACTTTTTCAGACACTCAAAATCTGAAAGACTTCAGCAGCAGCAGACCTGTGCTACAAAAAAATGCTAAATGTTGTTTTTCACAGAAAGAATCTGACACCAGATGGAAATTGAGATCTACCCCAAAAGATGAGGAGCACCAGAAATGGTAAAGTAAAGAAAGAAAGAAAATATTTAAAATAGTTTTATGTAAAATTACTTTAAAACACAACTGACTATTCAGGGAAAAAATAGTGTCAATGTATTGTGAGATCTATGACATGGTAGAAGTCAGCTTCTCTTACAAGGAGTAATAGTACAGCATTTTGGGAGGGTGGAAGCAGAAGTGCAATGATGTAAGGTTTTTATATGTCAAGTAGAATTATATCACTTGAAAGTGGAATGTGAAAAGTAAAAAATGTATATTATAAACATTGTGGAAAATACTAAAATCATTAAAAATTAATTTAGTAAGTAGTGGAAATAATCTAAATGAAGGCAGAAAAAGATGAAAAAAGAAAGTTTAAATGTGACAAAGAGAAATAACTAACTTGATGGTAGATGTAAATTCAACCCTATTAACAATTGCATTAATGCAAATGGTCTGAACGTCTCAATTTAAAAGCTGAGAAAAAATAGGTCATCCAAATACTAGTGAAAATAGAGTGGTGAGACTGTATTTATATCACCACAAATAGACTTCAGAACTTGAGAAGAAGGAATATTCCCAGAGATAAGAAGAAACGTTACATAATGATAAAGGGGTCTCTTCATCAAGAAGATATAACAATCCTAAATACATCTGTGCCTAACAACAGAGCTTCAAAATACACAAAACTGAGTTAAGATCTAAAAGTGAAATAGACAAATCTACAGTTAAAGTGGGACACATCACCATTCTTCCTCAGGAGTCAATAAAGGAGGAGACTGACAATCGGTAAGCATACAGAAGAACACCCCCAACCAACCTCACCTAAATGACCTTGAGGAACACCCCACCCAACAATTGCAGAGGACACCTTCTTTTCAAGAGCACAGAAACATTCACCGAAATGATTATCTCCTGAACCATAAAACAAACCTCAACAAATCTAAAATAACGGAAATCATACAGGGCACACTCTGATCACAACAGGGTTAAACTAACAAAGATACTGTCTATTGTGAGGATGCCACTGGTGTACAAAAATAAGGAGAGCACTTGGGCCCTCAGTAAGCTCCTGTACCCTTGCTTACCTGAGGCATCCAGCTGTTCTGTAGACGCCGGGGAGGACTCACAGGACGGTATGTTACAGTACTCCCACCGCTCTTGGCTGTTGGTTGTATAGCACCATGGGGCCTTTTCTCCATCAGGGTTACGGCAGTAGTTTTCATCCAAATTTCTGAAAAAGAGTGATTGTGAGTTTAGCTTTCCAAAAAGAAAAAAAGTCTGGGGAACCACACTTTGAGAACAACTGTTATGGGAAAAAATGTGCTAAAGTTCATTTCTTTCACTACGATTAGATCAGTTTGTCTTCCAGGATACTTTATCCTGGCTTCCTACAGTAACTAAAACTAAGGCAAAGTCAAGGGGATTTCACATTCCCCATAGCAGCAGAACGAGACTCGAGGGGCCTTACTTGCAGGGAAAGTTTTCTGGTGTCTTGTTGTGTCTGTGAGGGGTCTGTGCACTCCAGCGCTGACAGGTGTGCCCCGACACGGTAACAGCCACATTCCCACGGTAGTTTTCACCTGTTCCCTTCAGACATTGGTAGGTGGGACCAGAAGATGGTGGAGGTGTTGCTTGAATGGAAAAAATAAATTACAATGAATCGTTTTAAAATAGAGAGTGCACAGATGGATGTTAAGGGGGATGGTTGCAGGGGGCTCTGGTCTGTCTTGTCTTCTGCTCAGCTGCTTTTGGAATTGGGCACTTGAAAATGATTTCATGTTTTCAGAAGAAACCAACTTAGTAGCATGTATGCCTGTGAGACCCTTTCATAAGAACTCTTCCAGGGAAAGACCCTTGGGTAGATGCTTCAGTCTATGTTCTCTTTGCTCGGTTCTTCATACCTGGTAAGTATCAATATGTGTTACCTCCCTCCCCAAATTTTCACATATGTCAATGGTCCACTCTCTTTCCTGAAGAATAAATCATTCACTGAGTAGACCTAACTGAATGGCACCCAACATTCCATAAAGTCAAACAACAGGGAAAGAGTCCAAGGCAAGAAGTCAAAAAGCATCTCCAGTGAAAAGCGTGTGCATCCAGAACTCAAGACGTTCTTGAGGAAAAGAAGATGATAAAAAGAGAAACTGAAAAAAGAGAGAAATTGATATTCGTAAAAAGGGAGAATGCCTGAGGAACTTCCACTCCCAAAGAACATGTGTCAGAGGAAAGGAAGGGAGGCCAACCCTTACTGAATCCTTTGTGACTTTTCGTGCCTGTCTTTGTCTTAGTGTGTAATCCTTTGTTTCAAATTCTCAGAGAGGAAAATATGATAAAATTGTCTCCACATCATTGTTACTAGGTATGCCATTTCATCTTCTCTCCCTGAACTCTTTCCCACTCCCACCCTCTCACCCTCTGCTCCCCAAGCTGGAAAAACTGGGCATCCACAGATCTGAACATTGTAAACAAAGACACTCTTTGTTTACAAAGCAACTATTAGAAAGAACTCCGGTTGAAAATGAAATCCATGTGCCAGAGAGCATGGGTCTGATTTCCCTAGAGCACGGAGAAAAGTAGAATAGGACAGACAATACCCAAAGCCTACATTTCACTGAACTCCTAAGAGGCAAGAGTTTCTGTTGCAAAGAAAGAAAAACATAACAAATGGACGCTCTGATCAATTACCTACAGTAACTAATAACCATAACTGTTTTAAGCCAGCAATAAAATAAAGACAAACAACATCCCATAGGACTTGTAGGTCACTTTTCAGGGGCTGTACTCAGGCATTGACACATGTTTTCTTTTGATTTCAAGAACAGGGCAAGTCAGAATCCTGGAATCTGGGTGTGGTTCATACTCACTGCAGCGGGGGATGTCGCAGAGTTCCCAGCGTTTGTTTGGGTTGGTGGTGAAACACCAAGGCCGGGGCTCTCCATCAGGGTTACGACAGTAATTTTTCTTCAAGTTCTTGCTTGGAAATCTGAATGGACAAGAAAGATTTTAGTAGCACTGAACATTTACGTTCATGGATGAGACTGTTTCTCAAGTGAGTAAACACTGAGCACCTGCTGTGTGCTAGGCACAGTCGGGCATGGAGGAGGTAATTGGATGAAGGCTGTGTTCAGAGATGGCAACTAGGAAACAAGGTTGGCTCAGTATTCCAAGGATTTTCTTTTCTTGTTTTGTTTTTAGAGACAGGGTCCCACTTATTGCCCAGGCTTGTCTTGAACTCCTTGAACTCACTCAAGCAATCCTCTTGCTTCAGCCCCTCATGTAACTAGGACTTACAGGCTTGTGCCACCACATCCAGCTGCCAAGCACTGTTTTTCTAACATTTTATGTGTGTAAAAATCACTCAACAGAATCAGTACCTTATCATTTTGGTCATCTGGAAAAACTGATGTAAGCAAATTCCAGTTATTCAACCACAAATAAAAGCAATCTTTAAAATGCAAAGTGCTTCTGACTAAAGATACTCATCTAGTACCCAATAGAGCCAAGAACTGGGCATCTTCATAGCTTAAAGTAACATTCCTTCTGGTCAACCAGGCTCTGCTCCTGCCAGCCTTGAAGCTTAGAGAAACATGGAAGAGAAGCTGTGCTCCTACAAGTGTCTCACCATGCAGTATGTGCTGGATCCTTCCTCAGTGGGCCCCAGTGGCTAGGGCTGTTGGATGCACTCCATGCCTGATGGCCCTCTGCACTTATTCATTCCCCCCTCTGAGACTGTAAATGTTTACCAGGATGGAAAGAAGAGCCAGCAGCGGCTTAAGCAATCCTCTTCTCCTTCCGATTTCCTGGAAGTGACTTTACTCAGCTTTGGACCCTTAGGCCTTTACTGTATTTCCACTTTGAAGAAAAATGGCAGCTGCTGTGTTTTAAGCTAGCTGTTTTGAATGGGAAGTAAAAGTGGAATCTGTGGCTCAGCGTCACTTCTGCATTCTTAAAAGCCCTGGTATGGTCCTTTAGCCATCACAGAACGAAGAGGAAGACCAGAAGTGTCTATAGAATGGGAGGTGTTTTCCAGCACAATTAATGTGAAAAAGAATACTCGCAAAACCTTATTCTAACACCAGATGGATTCAAGATTTAAACCTAAGCCCAAACACCATAAAAACCCCAGAAGAAAACCTAGGCAATGCCATTCAGGACATAGGAATAGGCAAGGACTTCATGACTAAAATACTAAAAGCAAAGGCAACAAAAGCCAAAATAGACAAATGGAATCTAATTAAACTTAAGAACTTCTGCACAGCAAAAGAAACAATCATTAGAGTGAACTGGAAACCAATAGAATGGGAAAAAATTTTTGCAATCTACCCATCTGACAAAGGGTTAATATCCAGAATCTACAAAAACTAAAATAAATTTACAAGAAAAAAAAAACCCATTCAAAAGTGGGTGAAGGATATGAACAGACATTTTTCAAAAGAAGACATTTATGAGGCCAAAAACATGAAAAAATGCTCATCATCACTGGTCATTAGACAAATGCAAATCAAAACCACATTGAGACACTATATCATGCCAGTTAGAATGGTGATAACTGATATTGTGAAAATGGCCATACTGCCCAAAGTAATTTATAGATTCAATGGTATCCCTATCAAGCTACCTAAGACCCTCTTCACAGAACTGGAAAAAAACACCTTAAACTTCATATGGAACCAAAAGAGAGTCAGCATAGCCAAGTCAATTCTAAGCAAAAAGACCAAAGCTGGAGGCATCACGCTACCTGACTTCAAACTATACTACAAGGCTACAGTAATCAAAACAGCATGGTGTTACCAAAATAGAGATATAGACCAATGGAACAGAACAGATGCCTCGGAGGCAACACCACACAACTACGACCACCTGATCTTTGACAAACCTGACAAAAACAAGCAATGGGGAAAGGATTTCCTGTTTAATAAATGGTGTTGGGAAAACTGGCTAGCTATGTGCAGAAAGCAGAAGCTGGACCCCTTCCACTAAACTTCCTGACACCTTCCACTAAACTTAACTCTAGATGGATTAAAGATTTAAACATAAGACCGAACACCATAAAAACTCTAGAAGAAAACCTAGGCAAAAACATAGGAATAGGCAAGGACTTCATGACTAAAACACCAAAAGCACTGGCAACAAAAGCCAAAATAGACAAATGGGATCTAATTAAACTCCAGAGCTTCTGTACAGCAAAAGAAACAATCATTAGAATGAACTGGTAAACAACAGAATGGGAAAGAATTTTTACAATCTACCCATCTGACAAAGGGCTAATATCCAAAATCTAGAAAGAACTAAAACAAATTTACAACAAACAAACAAACAAACCCATTCAAAAGTGGGTGAAGGACATAACAGACACTTTTTAAAAGAAGACATTTACACAGCCAACAAACACGAAAAAATGCTCATCATCACTGGTCATTAGAGAAATGCAAATCAAAACCACATTGAGATACCATCTCATGCCAGTTAGAATGGCGATAATTAAAAAAATCTGGAGACAACAGATACTGGAGAGGATGTGGAGAAAAAGGAACACTTTCACACTGTTTGTGGGAGTGTAAATTAGTTCAACCATTGTGGAAGACAGTGTGGCAATTCCTCAAAGACCTAGAAATAGAAATTCCATTTGACCCAGCAATCCCATTACTGAGTATATATCCAAAGGATTATAAATCGTTCTATTATAAAGACACATGCATACATATGTGCACTGTGGCACTGTTTACAATAGCAAAGACCTGGAACCAACCCAAATGCCCATCAATGATAGGCTGGACAAGGAAAATGTGGCACATATACACCATGGAATACTATACATCCATAAAAAATGATGAGTTTATGTCCTTTGTAGGAACATGGATGAATCTGGAAACCATCATTCTCAGCAAACTGACACAAGAACAGAAAATCAAACACCACATGTTCTCTCTCATAGGTGGGTGTTGAACAATGAGAACACATGGACGCAGGGAGGGGAGCATCACACACTGGAGTCTGTTGGAGGGGGAATAGGGGAGGGACAGCGGTGGGTAGGGAGGTTGGGGAGGGATAACATGGGGAGAAATGCCAGATATAGGTGACGGGAGGATGAAGGCAACAAACCACATTGCCATGTGTGTACCTATGCAACAGTTCTGCATGTTCTTCACATGTACCCCAGAACCTAAAGTGCAATTATATATATATATATAGTGTAATATTATATATATTTATAAAATGTAATTATATATATTTGTGTGTGTGTGTGTGTGTGTGTGTATATATATAAACCAAAATAAAAAAATCTGGACCCATCATGACTTTCTAGAGCAAGAACCTTATTCTCATTTTAAATTCATGATCCCCTTAGAGAATCTGATGGAAGTTATGAATCCTCGTTCCAGAAAAATGTACTGATATAAATATACATAAAACATTAGGGATTCACAAATCCATGATGTTCGCTCATAGGTCCAAAGTTAGGAGCCTTGAATCTCATTGGTACAAAGGGAAAGGAAAGAGAGTGAAGAGAAAACTATTTGGAAAACACACCAGCAATGTGTGTGTGTGTTTCTCAAGACAGATGTTAATGTGTTCATACCCACATTAGTGTTTGAATGCGTGGGAACATCAACTGAGGATCTGGTTATTACGCAACTCAGATTCAGATGGTGTGACATTTTGCATTTCTAACAAACTCTCAGAGAACAGCCCTGCTGCTGGCCCATGAACCACATTTTGAGCAGCAAGAATGCGTATTCACTTGCAATATTGTGGGAGGATGCTAGCTTTGAAATTAAAAACATCTTGAGGAGTGCTAAAATATCTAAATAACAGCAAATGTCCAATAGAGTTGCAGAGCCTTAAACATGGAGTGTTTTTTCCCAGTGAGACTTACTTGGAGGGAATGTATCCATGAGCGTGTGGGGTCTGAGAGTCCCAGGCCTGGCATTCCAGTCCAGACATGGTCTTGGAAATTTTTCCATCATAATTTTCTCCACTGCAATGCATACATTCATCTGGACAGGTTGGGAAGGAAGGACAGAGAGGAAGAAAAAAACTGAAATGGACGAAGCAAACTAGAGAGTTAAAACCAGAATCCGTCTCCCTTAAGTGCAACTTGCCCCCATTCAGATGTAATTCACAACAGGCACTTGGCCATAAAATTGGCAATAAGGACTCAGGATTTTCTAACACAATTCAAATGTCATTTTTCTTTTAAATGGTAACATTCACAAATTTTAGTCAACATCCAGTCAACTATTGTAGTCATGACCACATTCAGAATTTCTGTGATGCCATGTTTGTAAATCAGGATGTGCAGGCCAGCGGGGAGGCAGGGATGCATCTATTCTCAGAAGTCTGTAAGCTCTCCCTTAGGATTTTTCAATATTCACCATCTTCATTACAATAATGATCTTTAAAACTTTGTGTGAAATTATTCTCATCATTCCACTGACTGCACCATCTCAGGGTTTTAGTCTGGAGTTTTCGTTTGTGCTCATGGTCTCATGGAGAACAATATTCACCTGAGGTGATAGCATTTCTCTTTTTATATAGTTGAGAAGCATGACTGGCTCTTTTTTGCAAAATTATTCACAAACTTACACTTTGATTCAGAATTATTGAAGTCACATGGTAATGCAGAGTAATAGGTAACTTACATTCTTTTAGGGTACTAAGGAAAAAGGGCAGACTTAATATAAAAGTGAGGCATTGGTGGCACTTAAGGACAAATACCTATAACATGGTGTACAAATAAAGGATCCCCATGATTCAAATAGGTGGAAGTGAAGAGAGAACTGAGTTGTCACGCAGTACCATATCCACGCTGTCACAAGAATCTCACCTTTACTCATTCCCTTTTGCACTAACAAATGCAGCCAGAAATACGAAATGATGACAGTTTTTATAGCACATTTTTATTTTTTTATTTTTTAGCATTGACCTTTGAGGTTCACCTTTAAATTGGTCAGTCCATTAAAATAATGGATTGCTGATTAAAAAATTGCTTTCTTGCTTAGCTTCAGCAAAACAGCAAAGTGTACCACATTAAATGTATATTGTTTATTTGACTTTTATAGATTTTGTTGTTTTAACTACTTAATTGCAAATCTGTCTTGAGTTTTACACTGTGTAAAAGTTTTACCCATAAGAAATTTGTATTTAGAGTTTAGATGTAGTTTTATGTCTGTACATGTTGATGTAACATTTTAATAAAAATAATTCAGGTCAGCTGGATGCGGTGGTTCATGCGTGTGATCCCAGCACTTTGGGAGGCCAAGGCGGGCAAATCACCTGAGGTCAAGAGTTTGAGACCAGCCTGACCAACATGGAGAAACCTCGCCTCTACTAAAAATACAAAATTAGCTGGGAGTGGTGGCGCATGCCTGTAATCCAAGCTATTCAGGAGGCTGAGGCAGGAGAATCGCTTGAACCCAGGAGGCGGAGTTTGCAGTGAGCCGAGATCACGCCATTGCACTCCAGCCTGGGCAACAAGAGCAAAACCTCATCTCAAAAACAAACCCACACAAATTTAGGTCAATTCTGTGGGTCTGAGTACAGTTTTGCTCCTTTCTGAGAGGTGAATACGTTACTTAATTATTAATAATCTCCCTGTAGGAAGGGGTTTTACAACAAATTATTGTATAGGTGAAGGGCAGAAATGAAAACATTTTCTAGAGCCCCTCCTGACCTTCACACTCTGGAATGTCACAGTAGTCGTATCTCTGGTCTGGATCGGTAGTGTAGCACCAGGGCCCCTTCTCATCGCTGTCTGGGTTCCTGCAGTAGTTCTCCTCCAGTCCCTCTGAGGGGTGTGTATCAGGGGAGTAACTGGAGAGGATGGAAAAGAACACTTAGACTATGTTCTAAAAATCAGTGTGCTATCAGCAAGGCAGAAGGAGATGCTCTCGTTTCCCATCCGAGATTGAAGTTGCTGTCATCCAAATGCATTTCAGCAGGGTGCTGCAGCATTTGTGTGGTCGGATTTTTAATTTCTCTATTGATAGGCTGCTTCTGGCACGGAAGGTAATATTACCATTGCTACTATATTGACAGCCAAGTCTTAGACAGAGAGCCACAGTCTTTTTATTCACAGTCAGGAGAAATATAAAGGCCTCAAAAGCCTGCCAAGGTCTTAATTCATTCTAGACACCTTCTTTTGTCAGTTACTGTTTCTCTGTAAAAACTCCTGTAGTTAATAACATTTTGTCCATGTGAACTATGTGCCAGGAATTCAACTAAAAGCCTTCTATGCATTCTCTTTTTTAGTCCCAATAAAAAACCCCTTTGAGGAAGGTGTTATTATCCCTATTTTACAGATGAGAAGACTGAGTGGCAACATAGCGCAAAACAAAACAAAACAAAACTTGCTTAAGTGTGAATAACTACTAAGAAGCAGATCAGGAATTCACAGTTGATTTATCTGATTCCAAAGTCCTTGTTTTCTCTGAAATGCAGCCTGAATTAATGGGGATGGAGGAGGGAGTTAAGCTCATTTTCAGTTCTAGAGATGAGTTGCTGTATAGAGACAACCATTGAGATGAAAATCACAAGACTCGAAGTCTAGAAAGGCAGGTTTTATTTCTGGTTCTTCTGTGAACCTGTGTGGGGTAATCCCTACCCTCTCGGGACCTCAGTTCCCTCATAGTTCATCATAAAGATGAACCTAGACCACCTTGTAAAAATGGCCTAGTGTGTCTCCATGGCACCTGTCTGTCTCTGAGTTTGCCATTTGGTTGAATCAGTTTTCACTATCTCATGGGGAATATTCAATCTGCTCATCTCATAGGGACATAGCCAAGTCAATGTGTTGAGTGTTGGGGGAATCGATAAAGGTGAGCACTGTTTGATGGACATCACTACTGAGAACTTAATGCCATCTAACATCAAACTGGGAAAAGTACAAAAAAAGATGCTAAAATAAATAATAGGCAAATTGCGAGATCTGGGTTTCATGTATCTCCATTTTCATTTTTGTATTTTATTTACTCTTTTGCTTCACAATTTGAGTCGAACATGTGATGAGAGCTCTAACTTGATATGTTTACTTTAGTCCCAAACATGGTCATCTTTGGCCTAAAACTCGTGGTTTCATTGATTTTTTTTTTAACTAGGCATGTTTCTATGTTCTAGGTCTTCAAGAAACTTCCATACCCAAGAAAAAATAGAAAGCAACCATATTCTACTATGGTGCTATAAATAATTGAACATTGATATCAAAAAGGTTCTGTCTGCTTATTCACATATTCTGGTTTGAATTAAAAGTAATGAAATCATCCTACATACAGTTGGCCCTCTGTATCCATGGGTTCCACATCAACAAATTCAACCAACTGTGGATGGAAAAGACTTGAAAAAGATGATAGAGAATAACAATATGAAAATAAAACATAATACAAATAAAAACAATATGGTATAACAATGATTACATAGCATTTACATTATGTTAGGCATTAGATGAGAGAATGTATGTAGGTTATATGCAAATACTATACCATTTTATATGAGGGACTTGGGAAGCATGGATTTTGGTAGCCACGGGGTCCTGGCCCCAGTCCCCCACAGACACAGCAGGACAACTGTACAGTAGGTGAACACGAAGATGAAAGGGAAAGTCTTACTTAGGTATGTGGGGAACAGTAGAACTCCATTTTTGACAGGTGACACCATTTTTTGTTTTGGACATTGTCCCTCTGTAGTTCTTTCCATTCCCAGTCTTGCACTCTGAAAGATACACTGAAGGGGAAGCCACGCAGTGGTCAAAGTCTGTCACAACAAAAAACCACGTAAGGTCTGCACAGCACAGTCACATTGAGAGAAAGACCTTGTGCACCAGACCCCCTGTTTCTGCTTTCTAAAAGATCGTGTTTTGCATCTGAAAGAGGGCTGCAATAAACTGAGCCATTCTGTGCTTTGATTCATGTATTCAAATGCTACTTATGAGCCCTCTGTGTATCGAGCCCCACCAGGGTGCTGGGGGCTCCTGGGGCACAGCGCAGCCAGAGGCTTGGCTGTCATGCAGCTCACGTTCTAGTGGAATCAGGCAGTGGGGTTACAGGAAATATTCAAGGAAACACAGTATGGAGTGAGATCACTTCGTAATGATACATGTTACAGAGAAAACACATAGCATGATGAGACAGAGTGAGAGAATGGGGAAAGGGATTTTTGGACGGGGAGACAACAGGCTTTTCAAAGGCTGAAAGAGATCCAACCCGCTTCTATTTCTTCAGGCTCCCAGTGATATGCAAAAGTGCCAAACAGGACTATAAACCTGTGGTCTACTATAAATGTTTGCCGTAAATGTTCTCAACCAGCCTCCACTCAACCAAAAGGGCCCTCTACTGCCTTTAAAACAGTCTGGTGCTCACCTGGGTCCACATGCAGCTGGCAGGTGCTTTGCGGGTGTGCCCCCCCCCACCAGCGTCTGTTCCCCCTATGTGGGTTGTGTGCTCACCATGAGTCATTTCCTTGCATTTTCCAATTTTCTTACAGTTATATTTAACTAAAGATGATCGAAACTGAGAAATGAAAGTGGAAAGAAACAAAGCTCCTTTTTTTGTTTTGTTTTTTAACTAAATTGAATGTTTTTAAGGAGTTGAAACATGAATCGTTTAAACAATTGCTATCAAATCCATGGAGGGCAATCCACTCATATAGTTGACTATAAAGTGTGAGGAGGAAATCATAAGAATCTAGAGGTATTACACATTCAGCTTGATTAGTAAACGTTGAGATGTGATCCATTTCAAAGATAAGGAAAGTGATTATTGTAGACGTTGCACTAGAGCATAGTTTATGCAGGAAGTGCACCAGAGACCTCCTACTGGTGACCCCATATTCAAAGAAAAAAAAAGCCTCTGCTCTATATCAAAAGGTGTCATGTACACTTGTGTTTTCAATGAAAATATAAAATGTTTACGGTATATTAATCATTTACATTTACCCACTTCAGTCCTTTTTTAATTCATTGATCAATCACATGGGAAAGTAGGCCTAACATACCTACAGCAAACTAATGCTTTTAACGCAATACTACATATTATGATTGCAAGTACCTCTTCTTTGGGAGCTCAATCCTATATATTATGATTAAAAGTACATCTTCATTGGACATAGTATTACAGTAGACATAAGACACTCATCAAAAGTGTAAACTAAAGGTACTTTGTGAAAGGGAGGTCTAGAGGTCAGTGAAGATTTGCAAAGGAGGTAATGATTGAGCTGAGACCTAGGAGATGAAAAGGAGGTGGCACAGCAGGACAAAGACGAAGAAGGTCCCAGGCAGCAGGGCATGTGCTTGGAGTGGTGAAGGAGCAGAGGTAAGGTCAGTGTCGAAAAGTTGAGCAAGCCAAGCAAACAGCAGCCTGGGGTTACTTAAATAATTCTGGGCCCCAGCACAGTTGGGAGGTATTTGGGTCTTATTTTAAGGGCACTAGGAAAGGCTTTAAGCAGGAAGGTACATTTCTAACAGATCATGTGTACAGCTACAAGTAGCCCCAACCAGTGGTGATGGGGTCTTGGACCGGGTGATGGCAGTGTGGCTGGTGGCAAGTGGCAGAAGTAAACGTGATCTAACACTGACTGTTCCCAGCAAAACCCTGGCAGCTAAGTTAGAGTGGGTCAATATCCCACAGCAAAGAAACAAAGACCAAAAAATGACTGACTTTTGACTTTTCTCTTCTCTTTTGTTTGTATGTACCCACCAGAGTTTATATAACCTTTAGCTCCCTTCTGTCACCTTGAAAACAAGCAAACTAAGCTTTCAAACTTCAGACTTCAAACTCAACCTAACAGTCATTCCCATGTTTCTTCTGGTTAACAATTTACAAATGACATATCTAAATGTTAGCATTTTGTAGAGAGAATCAGGCTGTTTTTTTTTTTTTTTTTAAAATCTGGCACAAGAAGTTGATTCTATATAGTTTACCGTTTGCTTACTACTTGCAAGAACTAATAGCTTCAACAGATAAAGTTTAGATTCAATCTGTACTTTAATCTCAAGAATTAGAGATAAGCAGTGTAAGGAAGAATGTACAATGCGTACAGCTAATGAAACCCACGAAGATGAGTCAATGCACAGAAATAATTTCGACCCAAATAAATACTGTTTAAATTGCTAGAGTTTTGCAGTGATACCAGACACAACACTGAAAAGCATCCTGAAGAATACATGAACTAAGGTGTTTTCAGTCCTCTTTAACACCTGGGATGCAGAATATTTTGGGAGCTAAACTGCTATTATTAACAGTCTTAATGCCTAGCCACCAACACAGTATAGCAAACAGTTTTTAAAGTGTCATACATATCCCTTCAAATCTTCATACGCTTAATGAAACATTTGCACATCTAAAAAGACATGCAATTTCCATTGAAATCCTGTCTGTTTCTTATTCTAAACAATGGGACTATTGACCCACATTTTGAAACAAACTGTAGAAAAGGAGCTGTAACTTTTGCACAGTTTTAAAAGACAACATTTCAGAAACCTGAGAAAAATATAGATCATGTCCCCCAAAATGTGAAAAATTTAAGAATAAAAGTAAGATTTTTGTCCCAATCCAAATGTTTCTGAGGATTAAAACACCTCAGTATTTCTATTTTACAAGGCTTTGTCCAGAAACTAGGGCCCAAAGACCATGGTCACCCTGCAGAATAAGAAGCCAAGATCAAAAGGAATGCGTAGACTTCCCATCTCCTCGTTAAATATAAAATAATATTTGAAATATCTTATTTTCAGGGTCATAGAGGTAGATGTGATTTTGCAAATCCAATCCTTTAAGTTTTTGACAAACAAAAAAAAATTAAAGCCAGGGGGTGAAATAATATACTCAAGCTAACATGGTTAGTTAGTAATCAAATCCTATCCTAACTCAGAATTCAATTTCACTACACCATAGTGCCTTCCTCCTCTGGTCTCATAAATTTAAAGATAGAATAGAAAGGGAGGAAGAGTGGGAGGATGAGGAAGACAGGAGGAGGAGGAAGAAGAAAATGTACTTGCTTTTCTTTTCAAATAAAATGACATCTCTCAACCTAATGATTGTGGAAGACTTCCTGTTTTCAGCCATTATCACACATTGTTGCTCTTTACTGTGATATTGAAATGACCTGCAGAATAAATCAGGAAATCAAATAAGTATTTTTCTTTATTTAAAGAAAACAAATGTTTATCAATAAGTGAGACACGCTAAAGATCATTGTATCTCTTGATGGACCAGGGAGCTCAGAACTGCTGCCTGTCAGCTATTTGGGCGTGGCATCGATGAAGAACTGAAGCAAAGACACCCACGTGGCAGTAACTCTCGTTCTCTCATGCCCCCACCCTCCCTCCCTCCCTCAGCATTTTCTCTTTCTTTCTATTTCAACTGCTTTATTTCTCCTTCACTGGTTTTCTTCATTGTCTTTGGGTTGGAAAGAAGCTACTCTGTTTGCTTTGAACCCATTGCCCAAGTTGGTCTGTCTCCATGACCTCTCGACTCTGAACACTTCCCCTGAACCTCTGCTCCACCTTTCACCCGGCCCTGGCCCCTGATCCCTCCCTTCCCATCCACGTGGTCGTGCTGTGGGTGCTCAGTTTGGCATCCAGAGCTATCATCCCAGGCCTATCACCTACGTGAAGGCTCTTCTTTAGCCAACTTGATCTCTTAATGATCCCCATCAAGGGGGTGCAGGGCTGCATCTTCCCCATCCTTCCTGGTGCTTGCCAACAGTTCTCTCAACTCCAAACCCAGCTCAGTTTCTGCCTCCTGCCTCCTGTCTCCCACCTGAGCCTTCTCTAGCTGCCTCAACCTTAGGAACTATTCTTTCCTCTGGATCTGAGTAGACCATGCATTGATTATGCCACTTCACAGTACCTCACTTGGGCTGTCTTTTTTCAAACATTATATCCAGTTTCCTCGACTACACCTTAAATACTAAAGGGCGGGCACTGGGTCTTATAGCTGTAAGTCATTGCTCAGATCTGTCTAGGCAACGATCCTCAACAAACATTACCAATCATGATGTTAAAAATTAGAGCTCAGAACAATAGCTACTAATGTTTATGTCAGTGTCAAAAGAAATAAATTCCTTTTAGGGTATTTTTCTAACAAAGACTCCATAAACCTTAACAAGCAGCCGTTAGTATGGCTTCTGATACTGTGAGTGAATATAATTCCAAATGCTGATTCCATAAATTCCTCCCTTCTCTTAAATTTGCGAGTAAATGACTTGCCATCCAAATGACAGATTTCTGGGTAGGTGCAATGACAGTGGAAATACCTGCAGGTGAATTCTCTCTCTTCTTCACATTTTGCTGCACATTCCTCTATGCTTCCTGCCTCCAGCTTTTTCTTAGTGAAACTGAACAGCGAAGCCCCCTGGGTATTCACATAGTCCTCCAGAGGCTCTCCTTGACCTAGAGGTGGGAGACCCAACAGGAACAAATGGTCAGTTAATCAACGCCAATCTCTAATTGCCATGACTTCCTTTTAGTCTCTTTGGTTAGCATTAACCGAATAAAACTTGCTGTTTCCTGGAAATAGAATGGGTAGCTGTGAGTCAAAATGTTTAGTTAAGAACACGTAATCTGACACGTGGACATAAAGATGGCAGCAAAAGGCACTGGGGACTCCCAGAGAAGGGAGAGAGGGAGGGAGGCAGGGCTGAAAAAATACCTGTTTAGCAGGTATTTAGCTCACTACCTGGGTGATGGGATCATTTGTACCCCAAAGCTCAGTGTCACGTAATTTAGTCATGTAACAAACCCGCACATGTACCCCTGACTCTACAAGTTGAAATTATAAAACAGAGAAAAACAGGTTTATTAGCAGATTGCAAGATGTTAAAAGATTTACCAGATTGATAAACAGGTTAGAACCGTGGAACCATTGCTGTGCTACCGTATTCATGGGTATAGAACCTTAAATAAAAACAAATTTTATGTTTGCTGTTGATTGGCATGTCATGAGAGAAAAGTAAGGCACCATCAGTGGCAAGGGTGCTATGAAGATTGATGTTGATTTGTTCATCCCTGGGTAGAAATGGAATGTGGAGGCCATTGTTTGATTTCTTACAATACTTTGTAAGAAGTATTTGTGCTTTGGTTGTAACACTGTCACTTCAGCCTCCTTGAGATACAAAAGTTTTGGTGCATGGGTGATGTTGGGAATAAATAAGAACTGAACTAAATTATGTTGCCACCTCGGGCAAAAATTGAATGAAACACTGGAGGGTGAGCAGCTCCCCACTGTGAAGGCCATTTCTGTACTGGGCTAACTACAGTGGCACACCACTACTAATTGGGGAGAAATCAGATTTTCCAAGGTGTTGACAGCCATCTGGATCTCAGGGAATTGTGAAAAAGCAGAACTTGGGACAAATACTGGTCTTGATGTTTCTTTGAGATCAAATCTGAGGCAAGGAATCTGTCTGAAAGCTGCCTTCTGCCTGGTGGCGGCAGAGGGTGGCCAAGCGGGGCTCAGCTGTGCTCCCGCCGCAAGGCTACAGAATGTCCCCTGTCCCGAGGCTCCTAAGGACACCTGGCCAAGCTTCAGCAGCCATCTTCTAAGCCTGGAGATGCCAGCTCCATCCTTGGCACAGAATGCCAGTGATTTTCACAGGGTGAGAGGCCAAAAGAGGCTCACAAAATGAAGATAGCCAAGATCCACAGAATTAGACAACAGGACAACCTTGACCACTTTCAGGGATGTGGTGGGGGCCGCAGGCAGGAGTGGGTGAAAGGGTGACTAGGGGAGTGGCAGGAGACAATTCTGGCTCTGAAGGCAGCGAGCCCTCCAGGGAACATGCGGTCAGGGGAGGTTCTGAAAGATGACACACAGCAGAGTGCATTCCTTTGTATGCTGATGACAAGTATGGAGCAGGAAGGCAGATGAACAGATTCTCATTCTCAGAAAGGCCTGTCCTGACCTCCTGAGGGTACACAGAGCACAAGGGGCAGGACAGGGAGGGGAATGCACTCTCTTCCGAAGTCCCCAGCCAAAGTTCACCTGCTTCCCATCTCTGCAACTTTGTCCTTCCTCAATTTAAGACACTCCAGGCTGGAAAAATGGACTATTGACCAGGAGTTGGCTAAAAGCACTTGCGAGATGTATCGAAAGATCACAGAGAAATAGATACTTTAGGCCCATATCTATGTCTTCACCCTGTTTCTTCTGTCAACTTGAACTCTCATTTCCGAGAAGAGCTGTGTTTTGGTAAATTCTATAGCTCAGAGTGTGACTTTAAAACACAAACCATATCCGCAAAGGGTGTCCTACAGTGAATTAAATTAAACTTTCCGAAGAGTTTTTTTGAAGTATAGCAGAGCAGACTACAACTGATATTCAAAAAGAGAAAACTTCCATTTATTCCCCCTTCAATTAAGTTACCTCTGAGTGTCATGTTATTATGCTTCATAGCATGTCACTGCTGAGATCCCCTCCCCAGCTCAAGCTCCTAGTAAATATCCCAAAAGAGAATCAAATTGTTTTCTTTTAAATTTGAAATGTTTTTCCCCCATTTAAAAAATCTTATTCACTTCTAGGACTCATATGGCAAAAGGATTTGATAGGGCTTATTTGGTGGCAAGAAAACATTAAACAAATCTTTTAGTGGAAAAATACATTTATATTATAGGCAAAATGTAGATGTCTATTGCTACTGATGCAAATGTGTTTTATTAGCAGTGTGAGAATCTCCTCCTCACTGTGATATGTGAATGTGTATGCATATTTGCATGTGTGAGAAAAAAGACTTAGTAATTTGTGAAATGGAAAATGTTTCCCTGCTTCTCACTGAGTATGGCTGTAAAAGAAACTTTTTCCTCTCCCCGGGCATTGCAGCACACCAGAAAGACGACACAACCACAGAAAGCCTTCCTTTCCAAAAGAGCATATGAGAGAATGTGCCCCCCAGGTTGGTTAAAACATACGTTAATCCCGTGGCAGGGAATTTTGATCTTTCAGTGTACACCTTTGGGTGTAGCCCGCCGAATACGTTCACAGTGATCTCTGTCCTAGTTTCCATGGGCTGAAATAGACTATTCATACCACCAACACACACGATTTTCCCACAAAAATTTCATTGTTTAATTTTCTCCTGCTCTGTATTTCCTTTGATAGTTCCTTGAATGGCTTCTACTAAATGCAAATGTATGTGAATTTGTAAAATTTCATCTGGTAATTTATAGATTGAATTTCAAGTATGTATACATTATTGATAGGAAGAACTACTAGCAAAACTTACAATTCTGTTTTTATAAAATTTCCAAAATGGCAAAGATAAAATACAGAAAGTAGATTAGTGGCTGCCAGAAGCAGCAGATTGGGGGTAACAGCTAAGGGGAGTGGAGTGCCTTTTTGGGACTATGACAAGATTTTAAAATTTATTCTGATGGTGGCTGCACAACTCTCAATATATTAAAATCCATTGGATTATGTGCCTAAATGAGTGGATTCTCTATGTTAATTATATCTCGATAAAGCTTTTTTTTTTTTTTTTTTTAAAGTAAAAGAACTACTAGGATATGTTTAGAATATCTTTTCCAAGGCTTAAACAAAGCTGAAAAGTGAGAAGAGCCCTAGATTTCTTCTGGGAAATGTGGCTTAAATCCTTGATGTAGGAGTTTGGTCACTGAGCAAATAAGATGATTTTCCTAAGTCTATATTTCCTTGTCTATAAAATGGGGATGAATATACAACCCTACCTAAACCACAAGCTAAAGAAGCTAGTATTTGTAAAGGACACACACTCACACTCACATTGACACACAGGTATGTATGGATTATGTATGGATGTATGTATACAAACATGGGGCTACTCACAAGCACTAAGTATTTGTTGAATATATGCATATATCATCTGGCGAATGGATGCATGTGATTTCTCCAAGGATAAGAGGCAAATGTATACCTGTGGAAAGCCTTACTCAGGCCACAACAGAGAGAAATGCTGAATCCTCCCGTCCGCCCCCTGCCACTATGAGCTGGTGAGGGTACAGAATGTATTCTAAGAGATATTTCATTGTTTTAACTTGCAAGTGAGGGGAGCAAGACATTTTAACAGAGGTGATATAAATCAATGAAACCGAGAACCAGGCAAAGAGCTTAGCCATATCTTGGGTGGTTAGCTACACTGGCTCTTTTTCAATTAGACTGGCCATTATGTGGGTGCACTCATTTAGATTTGAAAAATCACCCATTATTTTGAATAAATCTGCCATTCCAGCACCCTGAAAATTTTCACAGTGCAATTAAACTTATTTCTTGAGGAATTCCTGAATCTTATACAAGATTTTGAACTTGGAATTTCATGAACAGAAAATTAAATTAGGTGAATTGCACATAAAGCTATGACATACGTATTTTTACTACATTGTGGGAGAAAAAAATAATTATTATATTAAAAAAAAACTTTGTCTTACCTGATTTCAGAAATAAAAGAAGTAGAAGAATCACTTCCTTACGTCCCATTTTGGGACTGGCCAGCAGTGCCCAGAAAGTGTGTCCCAGTCCCAGGATGTTGTTGACTTACATGAGAGTAAACGCATCCACAAACCAGATAGTCAAATTAAGTTAATTATTCTCTCAGAGGCCCTCGCCCCTGGCTCAGCAGGGGTCAAACATTACCTTGAATAAAGGGTCCTTCCAAATGTTTGAGAGTGGAATCTGCAATCGATGCTGGGAAATGGTGAAAGCCGTCTCCACCCTCGGCTGCTCCACACTGCCTTCCTGTCCCTGACTCCTGCCCTCACCCCTCATCCTTCATTTCTCCTGATTATTCTCTTTTCCTTCCCTCTTCTTCCATTCCCTTTCTTTCGGATAAAACAAAATCCTATCAGTATCGCACATTTGCTGGTACCTTCCATGACCAGACCCTCTGCCAAGCACTGCACATCCATAGCCTCCCTCAAGCTTCCCAACAGGCAGGGTTGTTCTCGTCCCTGCCGTACCAGGAGCAGGCTGAGGCCTTCCCGAGGTTATGTGGTTAGCCAGGGGCGCAGCTGATACCCACAGCCCATTCAGGTCTTAGACGGCCAACTTGAGCTAGGTTTCACATTAACATCTCCACGTCCTATACCAAACTGTGTCAACATTACAATATAAGTGAAAATATTTTATTACCTTCCAAATTTCTTTATTCCCAGCAAATTCATGTGTCTTCTGTAATGATAAATATTTACAACATAAATAAATATTTCTCCAAAATGAATGTATGGCACATTATTATATTCTCATTCTCATGAAATAAAGCAAGAGCGGTAGCATTAACTGGAAAGAGTCTATCTCAATTTTAATTGTTGAATCTGGAGTTTTCCCTGGTTTAAGGCTAGAGCATCTAGGTAGTACATATGCTTTAAAACTTCTATTTGTTCAAAGATATTTAGGAATAATACAACTGACCTCTCTATTTTAGATGTGGTAAGGACCAGAAAGCATTATTATTCTTTCCAGGCAGTGACATTCCTTCATTGACTGGCAAAAGATAGAGGTGGGAGCCCAACAGTCTTGGGTGGAACATCCCGTGGAATTCCCTGGGATTGAGAAACCATGCAGAACCCTCAGGAAGAAACCATCCAGGACAATAAGAGGGTGGCCCCATGTGAGGGACGGGGGAATCTAATCACATTTCCTGATTTCCTGTTTTAGCTTCACTCTCTTCTCTCCTCAAATTCTTACACTCCCTTTATCCTCTCTGTCTCACCTCATGTCCCAGTTCATTAAAAGGAAAAGAAGTTGGAGGCAAATTGAGAAACCAGCAGTGGGGAGACTTCATACATATACATATATAAATATAGAAATATAAATATAGAAATATAAATATAGAAATAACATATACATATACATATATGTACATATATATGTATGTACATATACATATACATATATAAATATATATACAAATATAAATATATAAATATACATATATATAAATAAATATATATATATATTTGTATTTTCTTTTTCTTTTTTTGTTATGCTTAAAGTTCTTTAAGTTCTGGGGTACATGTGCAGATCTCACAGGATTGTTACATAAGTATACACATGCCATGATGACTTGCTGCCTCCATCTCCCCGTCACCCACATTAAGTATTTCTCCTAATGTTATCCCTCCCCAACCTCCCCAACCCCTGTTATCACTCCCCTAGTCCCCAACCCCCAACAGACCCCTGTGTGTGGTGTTCCCCTTTCTGTGTCCATGTGTTCTCATTGTTCAACACCCACCTATGAGTGAGAGCATGCAGTGTTTAGTTTTCAGTTCTTGTGTCAGTTTGCTGAGAATTCTGGTTTCCAGCTTCATCAATGTCCCTGCAAAGGATATGAACCCATATCCTATTTTATGGCTGCATAGTATTCCATGGTGTATATGTGCCACATTTTCTTTATCCAGTCTATCCTAGATGGACATTTGGGTTGGTTCCAAGTCTTTACTATTATAACAGTGTGGCAATGAACATATGTGTGCATGTGTCTTTATAATAGAATGATTTATAATCCTTTGGGTATATACCTAGTAATGGGATTGCTGGGTCAAATGGTGTTTCTATTTCTAGATCCTTGAGGGATCACCACACTGTCTTCCACAATGGCTGCACTAAGTTACAGTCCCATCAACAGTGTAAAATTGTTCCTTTTTCTCCACATCCTCTCCAGCATCTGTTGTCTCCAGATTTCTTAATGATTGCCATTCTAACTGGTGTGAGATGGTATCTCAATGCGGTTTTTGGTTTGCATTTCTCTAATGACCAGTGATGATGAGCATTTTTTAATATGTTTGTTGGCTGCATATATGTCTTCTTTTGAAAGTGGCTGTTCATATACTTCACCCAATTTTTGATGGGTTTGTTTTTTTCTTGTAAATTTGTTTTAGTTCTTTGTAGATTCTGGATATTAGCCCTTTGTCAGTTGGGTAGCTTGCAAAAGTTTTTTCCCATTCTGTTGGTTGCCAGTTCACTCTAATGATTGTTTCTTTTGTTGTGTAGAAGCTTTTACGTTTGATTAGATCCCATTTGTATATTTTGGCTTTTGTTGTCATTGCTTTTGGTGGTTTAGTCAGGAAGTCCTTGCCTATGCCTATGTCCTGAACGGTTTTGCCTACGTTTTCTTTTAGGGCTTTTATAGTGTTAGGTCTTATGTTTAAATTTTTAATCCATCTGGAGTTAATTTTTGTATAAGGGGTAAGGAATGGGCCTGGTTTCAGCTTTCTGCACATGGCTAGCCAGTTTTCCAAACAACATTTATTAAACACGGAATCCTTTCCCCATTGCTTGTTTTTGTCAGGGTTGTCAAAGATCAGATGGTTGTAGGTGTGTGGCATTACTTCCAAGGCCTCTGTTCTGGTCCATTGGTCCATCTCTGTTTTGGTACCAGTACCGTGCTGTTTTGATTACTGCAGCCTTGTAGTATAGTTTTAAGTCAGGTAGTCTGATGCCTCTAGCTTTGTTCTTTTTGCTCAGGATTGTTTGGCAGGCTCTTTTTTGGTCCCATATGAAGTTTACAGCATTTTTTTTCCCAGTTTTGTGAAGAAGGTCATTGGTAGCTTGATGGGGATAGCATTGAATCTATAAATTTTTTTGGGCAGTATGGCCATTTTCATGATATTGATTCTTCCTAACTATGAGTATGGAATGTTTTCCATCTTTTTGTGTCCTCTCTTATTTCCTTGAGCAGTGGTTCACAGTTCTTCTTGAAGAGGTCCTTGACATCCTTTGTTAGTTGTATTCGTAGATATTTTATTCTCTTTGTAACAATTGTAAAAGGGAGTTCACTCACGATTTGGCTCTCTGTTTGTTATTGGTGTATAGGAATGCTTGTGATTTCTGCACATTGATTTTGTATCCTGAGACTTTGCTGACGTTGCTTATCAGTTTAAGGAGATTTTGGGCTGAGACGATGGGGTCTTCTAAATATACAATTATGTCATCTGCAAATAGAGACAATTGGACTTCCTCCTTTCCTAAGTGAATCCCCTTTATTTCTTTTTCTTGCCTGATTGCCCTGGCTAGAACTTCCAATACTATATTGAATAGGAGTGGTGAGAGAGGGCATCCTTTCTAGAGCCAGATTTCAAAAGGAGTGCTTCCAGCTTTTGCCCATTCAGTATGATATTGGCTGTGTATTTGTCCTAAATAGCTTTTATTATTTTGAGATACGTTCCATCAATACCTAGTTAATTGGAAGTTTTTAGCATAAAGGGCTGTTGAATTTTGTCAAAGGCCTTCTCTGCATCTGTTGAGATAATCATGTGGTTTTTGTCTTTGGTTCTGTTTCTGTGGTGGATTACGTTTATAGATTTGTGTATGTTGAACCAGCCTTACGTCCCCGGAATGAAGCCTACTTGATTGTGATGGATAAGCTTTTTGATGTGCTGTTGCATTTGGTTTGCCAGTATTTTATTGAAGATTTTTGCAGCTATGTTCATTATGGATATTGGCCTGAAATTTTCTTTTTTAGTTGTGTCTCTGCCAAGTTTTGGTATAAGGATGATGTTGGACTCATAACATGAGTTAGGGAATATTCTTATTTTTAATGTGAAATGTCTCTTACGGGGTTCATGTTAGTGTGCTTGAGAAAGTACTTTGGGAATAAAATAAAACAGACTCTGGCTGCGCGTAGTGGCTCATGCCTGTAATCCCAGCATTTTGGGAGACCGAGGCAGGTGGATCACCTGAGGTTGGGAGTTTGAGACCAGCCTGGCCAACATGGAGAAACCCTGTCTCTACTAAAAATACAAAATTAGCTGGGTGCAATAACGCATGCCTGTAATCCCAGCTACTTGGGAGGCTGAGGCAGGGGAATTGCTTGAACCTGGGAAGTGGAAGTTGTGGTGAGCCGAGATGGTGCCATTGCACTCCAGTCTGGGCAACAAGAGCAAAACTGCATCTCAAACACACACACACACACACACACACACACAAACACACACATTTTACTAATATATAATGCTTCCAGCATGTATTCATTTTCAGTTAAACTATTATTTTAGGTCTTCCTCCTGGATAAGGCACCTCAGGAATGATGTTATCAGAAATTCTATATCCACATAATTTTTTTTTCCTGTTGTTGTGGTTTTGACTTGGGTGGTGTTGGTATAGCTTTTGGCCACCTTTCCCCTGGTAATTGTTGGATGCACTCAGTTCTACAAATGTGGTTTTATAAATTAGTTCCCCTCCTCATGACCTTCTGGCTATAAAATTCTTCCCTACCTTCATAATCCATCAGCATCGTGAAAGCACAGAGGGACTTTGAGCAGAGCTCTGTTCTGGTGTCACTCACTCTGGAGCCTGTAGGAGAGCAGCAAAGAGGAATGCGTTACTCAGCTATAGACAGGGGTGGGTGCATAGAGACTTCCGCTATGGCACGGCCCTTCATGTCCACGGTAGGCATGAAGCAATGGACTCTGCCAGGTTGTGCATAGGAATCCACACTGCATTCTTACAGGGATTTTTGCTCTAAATATAACTAATTCAAAATAAGGCACTTTCTAGCTGAAAGAATGGCATGAACTGAGAAAAGGGACATGTACAGAGAGATCTCTGTGTACTACAATCAGGTGGCACATAGTCTGAGATTTATGTATTCTT